ATGATGACACAAAGGAGTTTTCCAGCGAACAATGAAGCGCTGCCAAAGCCACATGGTTGAAAACTATCAATGCATGCATTTATTCCTTGTTTTGTCGTTAATGATTTGAGAATCATTAACGAGACCTTTTTTAGTTCTGCGCCACATGGTACTTTACCAGTGAGATTAGCTCCACGCGGTGAGTTCTGGCGCCCGGATCACAGACTTTCTGATTGGTGAAACGGTGGAGGGCGGGACATCGAAATGAAAACAATAACAAGATTTAGAGGCTGGAAAAGTAATTTAGAAATTCAAATATCTCTGAACTACTGTTATCAGTTAAAGAAGTATTGGAAAAGAGCAGTTTATTATTATGACAGATCAGGGCCCTTTAATGACGACAGATTAGGGCCCTTTAATTACGACAGATTAGGGCCCTTTAATGACGACAGATTAGGGACCTTTAATGATGACAGATTAGGGCCCTTTAATGATGACAGATTAGGGCCCTTTAATGATGACAGATTAGGGCCCTTTAATGATGACAGATAAGGGCCCTTTAATGACGACAGATTAGGGCCCTTTAATGACGACAGATTAGGGCCCTTTAACGATGACAGATTAGGGCCCTTTAACGATGACAGATTAGGGCCCTTTAATGATGACAGATTAGGGCCCTTTAATGACGACAGATTAGGGCCCTTTAATGACGACAGATTAGGGCCTTTTAACGATGACAGATTAGGGCCCTTTAACGATGACAGATTAGGGCCCTTTAATGATGACAGATTAGGGCCCTTTAATGACGACAGATTAGGGCCCTTTAACGATGACAGATTAGGGCCCTTTAACGATGACAGATTAGGGCCCAGATTAGGGCCTACTGTCGCCAGTAGCTCAGTTGGTAGAGCATCGGCCTAAAGGCCAGAAGGTCGTAGGTTCAATTCCCACCTCTGCACCTTCTCCATTGACTCCCACTGATGACTGCTGTCGTTGTGTCCTTGGGCAAGACACTTAACCCCACTTTGCCCAAAGCCCCCACTGAAAGATCAAGGCTATGCTCACACTCAGAGAGCAGCCGTCCTCCTGTGGACTCACCACCTGCAGAGGGTCAGTGAGGGGCTGGTGCTATGAGACTTGGGTGGCATCTCTGATTGTCACCCCCCTGACCCAGAAATGGATTAAAGGGTAGAAAATGGATGGATGGATGGATGGATTAGGGCCCTTTAATGACAACAGATTAGGGCCCTTTAATGACGACAGATTAGGGCCCTTTAATGATGACAGATTAGGGCCCTTTAATGACGACAGATTAGGGCCCTTTAATGACGACAGATTAGGGCCCTTTAATGATGACAGATTAGGGCCCTTTAATGACGACAGATTAGGGCCCTTTAATGACGACAGATTAGGGCCCTTTAATGATGACAGATTAGGGCCCTTTAACGATGACAGATTAGGGCCCTTTAATGACGACAGATTAGGGCCCTTTAATGATGACAGATTAGGGCCCTTTAATGATGACTCAACATAAAAATCTTACACATTAGTATTTAAAGAAGTGTCGGCCATGTTCTTATCGATGTGAAATGGGATTTTCCGGAATAATCCTACAGTAGGGTTTGGTTCTGATCCGGTCCAGTGGCTTTTCACTTTATGCACAAGGTTAACTTTTAAAAACACAGCCTCAACATCTTTGCCATATTTTTTCATTGCTCCCGATCAAACATTACTGCATTCCGATCTTATCTGGAAGAAGCTGAAGTCACACCAAGAATAAAAATATTTGATTTTCCTCAATAATCGTCAAAACAAGACCTTCAGAAAAATACATCTGCCTTTTTTCATCAACATCTGAGTTGTTTTGGTCTGCAATAGTGTCAGGCCTTTGTGGAAAGAAAAGAAATCTTTGTAAAACGTATACAAGGCAGTCTCACTCACAGTCTCACTTTGAGGACTGGAGTCAGGTGAGAGGGAACAAAGACAGAATTGTTGTTGTGGCTCGAGCAGAGACAGACGTTCCACTGTTGCAGTCCACATCACTCAGTGTCTTTAATCACACTCAAGAGACGAGCTCTCACTCCGTCACAGAGACCACAACGAGCTCTCACTCCGTCACAGAGACCGCAACGAGCTCTCACTCCGTCACAGAGACCACAACGAGCTCTCACTCCGTCACAGAGACCGCAACGAGCTCTCACTCCGTCACAGAGACCGCAACGAGCTCTCAATCCGTCACAGAGACCGCAACGAGCTCTCACTCCGTCACAGAGACCGCAACGAGCTCTCACTCCGTCACAGAGACCGCAACGAGCTCTCACTCCGTCACAGAGACCGCAACGAGCTCTCACTCCGTCACAGAGACCGCAACGAGCTCTCACTCCGTCACAGAGACCACAACGAGCTCTCACTCCGTCACAGAGACCGCAACGAGCTCTCACTCCGTCACAGAGACCGCAACGAGCTCTCACTCCGTCACAGAGACCGCAACGAGCTCTCACTCCGTCACAGAGACCGCAACGAGCTCTCACTCCGTCACAGAGACCGCAACGAGCTCTCACTCCGTCAGAGAGACCACAACGAGCTCTCACTCCGTCACAGAGACCACAACGAGCTCTCACTCCGTCACAGAGACCACAACGAGCTCTCACTCCGTCACAGAGACCACAACGAGCTCTCACTCCGTCAGAGACCACAACGAGCTCTCACTCCGTCACAACGACCACGACGAGCTCTCACTCCGTCACAGAGACCACAACGAGCTCTCACTCCGTCACAGAGACCACAACGAGCTCTCACTCCGTCACAGAGACCACAACGAGCTCTCACTCCGTCACAGAGACCACAACGAGCTCTCACTCCGTCAGAGACCACAACGAGCTCTCACTCCGTCACAACGACCACGACGAGCTCTCACTCCGTCACAGAGACCACAACAAGCTCTCATTCCGTCACAGAGACCACAACGAGCTCTCACTCCGTCACAGAGACCGCAACGAGCTCTCACTCCGTCACAACGACCACGACGAGCTCTCATTCCGTCACAGAGACCACAACAAGCTCTCATTCCGTCACAGAGAGAGGCTTTTGTCTCCGGACGCTCTGGACTGTACGCAAATAATACACTACACAGCACAGGTACAGCACAGCACAGGCACAGCACAGGTACCTGACCCTAGGTACAGTCTGGGAGTGGAGATGATAATAGCCTGGGGTCGAGTCTTAAAGAAGATGTGTTTTATGGTTATTGACGTCACAGAAAGCATGTGACGTTTTACAGCACGGAGGAATGAGAACGGCCAATCAGCTATCACCGCGGGGTCAGTAGTTTTGGCCTTCAGATAAACCAAAACAATGTAGTGGAAAATAACAGCCTTGGGGGGGTTAGGTTTCCTCCAGGTGCTCCAGTTTCCCCTACCATTACAAACATGTACAATAGGTCTGTGTGTGTACTAGCCCCTCCCCTCTCTGGGACTCGAGCATATCGTTAAAATGATTAGTTTAACTTGAACTGAAATCTTTAGCGTCATAACAAACATGTGATGTGGTTACGATCAGAAAATATAATTGTTCTGTGTTGGAATGACTACATCGTTAAAAGTTACCTCATTTTAGAGCCATTTTCATTCATTCGTATAAGAACTTAAGAACAGATTTTTCACATCAAAACCTGCATAAACTGTTATTTTCTTTGGTTTCTAGACAAAAACTTTGCTCCAGGGCGTCTGTTAAAAGGTTGAAGTTGCATTTGATTAAGTTTACTTGCTTCTTTACACGGAATTATGTCATGTATAAATCATTTATATGTGTTTTTTTTGAGGCGAACCAACCTTTTTTGAGAATGCAGCCTGATCCCCAAACACTAACTTACAATTTGAGTAATATTTCTAGCATTTTCAACAATGTTCTGACTGTGAAAAGACCTGTGTCGATCTTATGTAGGAATAATTAAAACACTGATGTATCTTTTGTGGACTGCATTTCTCATTTGTGACTAAACTATGGATTATATTGGTTTTGTAGACATTTGACTGAACTTAAGAACAACCCGACAGCGTGAATACAGTGAGACAGAGACAGCAGCCACGCCTCTGTTATGATTGACAGGATGTGAGTGATCTGGGAAGATGACATTCCTTTCATACCTCCCGCACTCTGACTTCATACATTTTGACTACACAACATTTTGACTACACAACAGAAAGATACACTGAAAACAAAAGGGACCAGGGTCAGGTGAAAACGTTATTCTGTCTGGAATGTTGGACAAGGATACTTTGGGTCCAACGCTTTTATTCAGACAAATACCAGTATTTAAGGTGGTATTACAACTCCATGGAGATGTAAACCTGCATGTGCCGCTTACTCCACCTTAATGAATCTGAAAAGTACAGGTGAGACGGGTCACGCACCGGCGGCTTCAGAACTCTTTGTGGTAAAAGCTGGACCTGAGTCAAAACCGTCCTCGGGTCTAAAGGGCAGTACACACAATATCAGTGTGTACCCACAACAAAAGCATCGACTAAACTCTTTCTATAAACACTCATTAGGACTGATTTGAACGGTTCGTTTTGTTGATCGGTCATAAGTAACATGGGCGGCACGGTGGCTGAGTGGATAGCACTCTCGCCTCTCAGCAAGAAGGTCCTGGGTTCGAATCCCGGTTGGACCAGGGCCTTTCTGAATGGGGTTTGCATGTTCTCCCCGTGTTTGCGTAGGTTTCCTCCAGGGGCTCCGGTTTCCCCTACCACTAAAAATATGTACAATAGGTCTGACATGTGCCTCCTGTACTGGCCCCACTCCCAAAAATAACAATTGTAAACCGCTTTGAGACTCCGATGTGCAGTGAAAAGGCGGTATATAAATAAAGATTACTTAATAAAGATTTCTTAAAGATTACTTACTTAAGTAAAAAGTCTTATCTCCGAATAATAAGTTTTAAAAATAGGTTTAAGAATGAATCACAACAGAATGACTAATGTCAGAGCAACGCATTGGTTTAAACATTATTATTATTATTAGAAAGTCTGTTCATCCTGGTTCAGCGAAAGAATAAAACACAAGTATAAGTTATATATTTGTGACGTATAAACTTTAAAACGTGTAAAACTTTGTGCAGTGAATAAAAACATAACAATGTCACCAGTAAAATATTTACAGACATGAAAAGAGGTTTCTACACCAGTCCGACCAGTCTGTCACACAGCAACGCACAACAGAGCCACACAACAGAACCACACAACTGAACCACACACAGAGCCACACAACAGAACCACACACAACAGAGAACCACACAACAGAACCACACAACAGAACCACACAACAGAGAACCACACAACAGAGCCACACAACAGAACCACACAACAGAGCCACACAACAGAACCACACAACAGAGCCACACAACAGAGCCACACAACAGAACCACACAACAGAGCCACACAACAGAACCACACAACAGAGAACCACACAACAGAGCCACACAACAGAGCCACACAACTGAACCACACACAGAGCCACACAACAGAACCACACACAACAGAGAACCACACAACAGAACCACACAACAGAACCACACAACAGAGCCACACAACAGAACCACACAACAGAGAACCACACAACAGAACCACACAACAGAACCACACAACAGAGCCACACAACAGAACCAGACAACAGAGAACCACACAACAGAGCCACACAACAGAACCACACAACAGAGACACACAACAGAACCACACACAACAGAGAACCACACAACAGAACCACACAACAGAGACACACAACTGAACCACACACAACAGAGAACCACACAGAGAAACACAAACAATTTGACCCAAAATATCATAGTATTATGTCAAACTAATCTCTAAACCAGTCACAAAACAAAATCTTTTCCAAAATTCCAACAACTTTTTAAAAGTCAGTCTTCCAAAGGGTGTGAGACAGCAGAGGCTACACACTCAGTATTGTGTGTGTGTGTTTTGTGTAGTTCAAATGACACAACAGCAGAAAAATCAATAAAGCAAAAATCAACATCGCCAAAGAAAGGAATGTTTAAAGTATAATTGTGCGATCATTCCTGCAAGTGTCATTGCCCGACACACACACACACACACACACACACACACACACACACACACACACACACACACACACACACACACACACACACACACACACACACACACACACACACACACACACACACACAACCAAAAACAGACTTTACACACACATATAGTTTAAAGTTCTGTGACAAAATGACATCTAAGGACCATTGTTATTTTCAAAGGATTTTCCATTCAAGGCAACACAAAAATGGATCACATATGGACTTTTTAGCCTTATTTTAGACTTGTACAACAGAACTACACAACAGCTTGATTTTGTCAAACGCTGATAAAGTGTGTAGCTGTAAAAATACCGTTAAAAAAGTGTAGTTTCAGTCCCACCTGTACCTTTGTAGCAGCAGCAGCAGCAATGAGCCAGAGTCCAGTCACAACAACCCCGCCAACTTTTCTTCATCTTGCCTCACAACAACATCTCATCTGCCGCCTGCGTTTTCTTTTTAAAAACCGTAAACAGTGAAATACATGAAGTAAATATAGACACGCTCCAGGTCCACGGAGCAGAGAGAGAGTGAGTGGGACTGGGAGAGCACCGAGAGGAGTGGAGCAGAGGGAGGAGGAGCCAAACCACTCTTTCCCAGAGAAACTGCTTCACTCACACTTCACTGAACCAGAACAGACTTGGAGAGTTCTGGTTCTAAAGTACCAGGTGGGACCCAATGCCCCAGAGGATTATGATGACAGGTTAGAGTGGATAGTATTAGGAATTACCTCTGATTGGGATTAAGTAAAGTCATTTTAAAGGGGCCGTATTGTTGTATGCACTATAGTGGACTATTAAAGTCACTACAATCCTATACTGTTTCCAGAATCTTCCAAGAGCTGAAGCAATCCACCTGCTGGGGTTTGGATAGAAACAGGACAAACTAACTACAACCCAGGACTACTTACTTTTGTCCCTGCTTTAATTTAAATACGTGTGGCGCCATTTTGGGAGGGAATTTAGTCATTCTGCTCTGATTGGATCGTAGTAATTATTGTGGAAATCATGTCCGTTTGGTTTTGCATTTGTTTAACCCACAGACTGTAAATATTAAGTAGTCACACCTATCTCTGCTGTTCTAACTAATGTGCCACAACTTCCGGTCTATGGGCAGTTTCAAAATTCATTCAAACAAGAGACTTCTAAAGTCCACAGCGACTAAACTAGACTGGTCCAGAACACTCAGCATTGACACACATGTGGAACGGAGCTTTGGACCAAGAGACAACTTTTGGACCATCCTGTAAAGACGTCCACCCCCACAGGCCTGGGGTGGTATTGCAGCATGTCAGCGCACCTCATTTTGGACACTTTTGAGCTGGGACCCGCCCCCACTGGTTTAACCGGAAAACGGCAACTATGATTCATAAACCCATCCATCCATTTTCTTCCCTTTAATCCATTTCTGGGTCAGGGGTCAAGTCTCATAGCACCAGCCCCTCACTGACCCTCTGCAGGTGGTGAGTCCACAGGAGGCTGCTCTCTGACTGTGAGCATAGCCTTGATCTTTCAGTGGGGGCTTTGGGCAAAGTGGGGTTAAGTGTCTTGCCCAAGGACACAACGACAGCAGTCATCAGTGGGAGTCGGTGGAGAAGGTGTAGAGGTGGGAAATGAACTCACGACCTTCTGGCCAATGCTCTACCAACTGAGCTACTGTCGCCTGATTCATAAACAATGACCTTTAATCTGTTTATATGATCATGTATTGTATGTTGTCATTTCCTTTGTATTATCCTGCCTTTAGGGACTACGGATGAAAACTAGCTTGGTAGCTATACTGTGGTATATTTTGGGTTTTTTTATATAATAATGTGCATTGTCCCGATCATATAAATACATAAATAATTCTGGGGACACGTACATTTTCATGTAGTTTGAAATGATAATATTCCATACAAAACAAAGGAAGGTAATCTCTGTATGACGGAGAATTTACACAAAATATTCATAGTCTTTTTAAATGAGTCAATAAAGACTTTGTAAACACACAAACCCCAAAGTTACAAACGTGTTTACACTACATTTGGTGGCTTATAATATAAACTATAATCTCAATCTCTCTAAAGGCTCTAAAAGTGCAGTGATATAAACTGGACTTATTTTAGAAAATGTATCTGTGTGACATTAAGAACCGAATGTAGAACAGATTATTCAGATTTCATAACAAAACATTAGACAAATACAGTTTTAGTCGCACGCAGCTGTGTTTTTCACCAGTATTTTATGGATAAACAAAAACAAAAGCCTTAAGAGCCAACGAACGGCAAAGTTTAGTTCAGAAACACGAACGAAAAGAGGAATGTGTGGAGAGAAAGTGAAACAGAGTCGTCTCAAGGTCCTCTCTCCTTCACAGAACTGCAGATAACGGACTGTGGACAACAATACTGAAGCTTTCTGTCACGTGTGTAAACATTTGAATCAACTGCAGTTATGGAGAAAACACAGAGACCTACTTTCACAGTCACAAGACACAGAAGACGGGAAAGAACCAGCAAGAATCAGAACCAGTGACACTGTACGGGTGGCCTTCAAAACTGTTTTATTTACAGTAGATGGAGATTTTATAATAATATAGATGCAATGTTTGGGCCATTACTATCAAAAAATAGGGACAGTGACTTTAGCCAGGAGGATAGTCGCTATAAATACAATATTCATATATCAATTTTCTTCCCCTTAATCCATTTCTGGGTCAGAGTGGCAGTCAGAGCTGATTATTTATGTGTTTTATGTATTTGAATTCAATACATCAGCACAACAGGTAAATTGCATCCATGATTTAGGGCTATACAAGAATAAATGGTATGGTATGGTATGGTAGGGTATGGTAGGGTATGGTATGGTAGGGTATGGTATGCTAGTGTAGGGTATGGTAGGTATAGGGTAGGTTAGTGTATGGTATGGTAGGGTATGGTATGGTAGGGTAGGGTATGGTATGGTAGTGTATGGTAGGTATAGGGTAGGTTAGTGTATGGTATGGTAGGGTATGGTATGGTAGTGTAGGGTATGGTATGGTAGTGTAGGGTATGGTAGGTATAGGGTAGGTTAGTGTATGGTATGGTAGGGTATGGTATGGTAGGGTAGGGTATGGTATGGTAGTGTAGGGTATGGTAGGTATAGGGTAGGTTAGTGTATGGTATGGTAGGGTATGGTATGGTAGGGTAGGGTATGGTATGGTAGTGTAGGGTATGGTAGGTATAGGGTAGGTTAGTGTATGGTATGGTAGGGTATGGTATGGTAGGGTATGGTAGGGTATGGTAGGGTATGGTATGGTAGTGTAGGGTATGGTAGGTATAGGGTAGGTTAGTGTATGGTATGGTATGGTAGGGTAGGGTATGGTATGGTCCTAAGGCAGGTAAGCAACACACAGTTATGTAAAAAACACAAACAAAAAGCCGACAAGCAGAACATAAAGAATTTAAAAGAGAAAGTCCAGGGAAGAGCAGATCTTTGTGGAACCGCTACGACAAAGGTTTCTGAGTAAATACGATGAACTGTAAATGTGTTATCGCTTCATCTGTGACTGATCTGTGTCTGAATTTGCATCTGTTCTGAGGAAAACAAGCGTTTCTTTTCATGAGTCAAAGAGGAAACTCAGCGGCAACAGAAGGCAAATCAGATGATCCAGAGAAGCCGTGAGCAGCCGCCTCAGGCCACGGTCTCGCTATGGTCACTTCCTACATCAGAAAATTCTACGGTCACTTCCTCCATCAGAAAACACATACGAAACACAGGGATTAATTTAATAATGAAAATAAATCATATAAAAGCTATAATAATGTATTTTGCCAATATCCCCCACTTACTGACCCCTGCCCTGTGAGCCACTGTTTTACACTCAGCAAATATGATCCCCTCTTTTTCAGTGTTTTGTATGAAAAAAGCTGATCTAAAGAAAATATATGGATTTAAAGAGAAGTGATAGACACAAACTATAGGGACTGGTTGGATGGATTCGTCCAGTTTGAGTTATTTACAAATCTTCTGTTGCAGCAAAGAGATTTGAAACACTAAAAACAATGCTAGAGCTCCCTCTTCTGGACATACGTTTATTCATCCAAAAATAATGACAGCTATTGGAACAAAATGGATGTGAATTATTTGGATGAACACAAAAAGCAACTGCAAATTTAACAAAAATTGCAACAAATCAAATCAGCAGATTTATATGAGCCTTCACTGATATAGTTTAAATATTGATGAAACTCAATGCAATGATGTCCTCCCACCAGCAGAGGTCCTCCTTCTGCATGTCCAATTAGAAAACATACAGCCATGGTCCAAGTAACACTACAAAACCAACAATTAACAAGATAATGTATCTAAAAGAACCAAAAAACTACACTACAAAACAAAGTAGCTCTGGATAAAGACAGACATCGATGAGACGAAGAGGGCAGATTAAAGGGTATATTAAAGGGCAGATTAAAGGGTAGATTAAACTTTAATCTACCCATTAATCATTAAAGGGTAGATTAAAGGGTAGATTAAAGGGCAGATTAAAGGGCCTCGTACCTTTCCCTGAGAAGAAGCAGTCCATCTCCACACTGGAGCGGGAGTGGGACACGCAGAGGGCCGAGCTGGGCACCAGTCCTTCCTGAGGCGGGCTGCGATCTGTGGACCGGACCAGACACCAGCCGGGCCGCTCGCTGGGTCGCTCCAGCAGCTCCACGGTCTGACCTGCAACAGAGAGAGGTTTCAGAAACTCAGCACACACGTGACCTGAGGGATCATGTGACCAGAGGGATCATGTGACAGGTGTGGGAAAAGCCGTTCTTACCTGTGCTGACGGACATCTCTGAGCTGCTTCCGGCGGCGAAGTCCTGAAGAACCACCGTCAACTCACATCCTCCAGAGAGCTGTGAACACAAAGACATTTACATTTAAGCTACAGGCAACATATTAAAGCAGAAGTGTGCAACAATGTATCTGTGCATGTACAGTACAGAGCAAAAGTGTGGACACCCTCTCTCCTTCACTGAGGTCTTTTCATGACTATTGCTGTAGACCCGCACCAGGCTGTGTAAGGGCCGGACCTGAACCCAGTCCAGATGGTTTTGGACCTGAACCCAGTCCAGATGGTTTTGGACCTGAACCCAGTCCAGATGGTTTTGGGGCTGGACCACAGAGTGAAGGGGCCAACAAGTGCTAAGCATCATGGGAACTCCTTCCAGACTGTTGGAGACCATTTCAGGTCCTGTTGAAGCTCATCCAGAGAATGCCAAGAGTGAAGCAGTATCAGAGCAAAAGGTTCTACTTTGAAGAACCAGAAAATAACACATATTTACACTTGGTTCATACTTTTTTACTACGGACATAATTCACATGAGTTCATTCATAGGTTTGATGCCCTCAGTGTCAATCTACCATTTTCATAATCATGAAAAAAACAAACTCTTTGAATGAGAAGGTGTCCAAACTTCTGGTCTGAACTGCATCTTTTTTTTATCTAAACGGTTTCATGTTGAAATGAGGGGTTATAATACAGTTTGCGATTGTGACGTCACAGCAATAATTGGTTTAAAATATAAACGATCAATTCACTAAAGAGACAAATATCTCATGACTTATGTTTGTGTCTCTCATGATTATATCGAGAACAAAGTACAGTTGGTTATAGGTTCATCAGAGTCTGTCCAGACGACCAGGGTCCAGTTATTTGCTTCCATTAAATGAACATTTTAAACTGTCTCCGACACGAGCATTCGCAGAGATTTACACCGACCAAACTAAAGTGCACAAACAGAGATGGCTTTAATTAATAATCAACAAAGTCCATTATCCAAACTTTCAAATGGATTATTACATCTCACCAAATGCAACATATTTACAAAAATACTGTGTCCTTAACACGCTTTCAGCACCTGGGGACAAAGGTCTGAGCCTTTTTATTTGTTTAGAAAATGAATACCTAATTAAGACATTAACAACTAATCTAGTGATCAAATCAGGACAACAATGTATCGTAAAGTTGTGCGTTAATTACAGCCTTAAATGCACCTTCAAAGTCTGTGTTTGTGTTTCCAAAAGTCTTGGAAAATGACGGCAAGTGTGCGTCAGCCGAGACTTTGGGCTGAGGGTCTCTTAGCAACACAACCCTGTTTCTGCACAACTGCAGGTGACACTACACCTGACAGATGGTCACACACACACACACACACACACAACTCAGTCTACACAACAGTCTACACAACCAGAAGAGGATCAGTCTACACACAATAGACCAGGACAGGTCCGTTTACACAAAAGTGATACAATCTGAGCTCACACAAAAATCACAACTGATACAAACTGCTCTCAACAGTTTAGGCTCAAAGTCAAAACTTTAGAGTTTGCAAATGGACAAAATGAACCCAACGATGAATAAAATCCCAGTCCATAACATTCCACAGAAACAGAAACAGCAGAGAACAACAGGAGTAGTTTGTGTTTGAAAAGAACTTTATTGTTCCCAAAAAAGCAGCACAACATAAACATCTCTGTTTATGGGCGGCTCCTGTGGCCACGGGTCACGTGACCACAGCTGACCAATGAACACACATCACACACATCATACACATGCAGCAGCAGCAGCAGCAGCAGCAGTAGTAGCAGTAGAAGCAGTAGTAGCAGCAGCAGTAGCAGCAGCAGCAGTAGTAGCAGTAGTAGCAGTAGCAGCAGTAGCAGTAGTAGCAGCAGCAGCAGTAGCAGTAGCAGCAGTAGCAGTAGTAGCAGCAGCAGCAGTAGCAGTAGCAGCAGCAGTAGCGGACGACACCACCCTCATTGGACTCATCTCCAACAACGATGAGTCCGCCTACAGGAGGGAGGTGGACCGGCTGGTGTCCTGGTGTCTCCTACAGGAGGGAGGTGGACCGGCTGGTGTCCTGGTGTCTCCTACAGGAGGGAGGTGGACCGGCTGGTGTCCTGGTGTCTCCTACAGGAGGGAGGTGGACCGGCTGGTGTCCTGGTGTCTCCTACAGGAGGGAGGTGGACCGGCTGGTGTCCTGGTGTCTCCTACAGGAGGGAGGTGGACCGGCTGGTGTCCTGGTGTCTCCTACAGGAGGGAGGTGGACCGGCTGGTGTCCTGGTGTCTCCTACAGGAGGGAGGTGGACCGGCTGGTGTCCTGGTGTCTCCTACAGGAGGGAGGTGGACCGGCTGGTGTCCTGGTGTCTCCTACAGGAGGGAGGTGGACCGGCTGGTGTCCTGGTGTCTCCTACAGGAGGGAGGTGGACCGGCTGGTGTCCTGGTGTCTCCTACAGGAGGGAGGTGGACCGGCTGGTGTCCTGGTGTCGCCTACAGGAGGGAGGTGGACCGGCTGGTGTCCTGGTGTCGCCTACAGGAGGGAGGTGGACCGGCTGGTGTCCTGGTGTCGCCTACAGGAGGGAGGTGGACCGGCTGGTGTCCTGGTGTCGCCTACAGGAGGGAGGTGGACCGGCTGGTGTCCTGGTGTCTCCTACAGGAGGGAGGTGGACCGGCTGGTGTCCTGGTGTCTCCTACAGGAGGGAGGTGGACCGGCTGGTGTCCTGGTGTCTCCTACAGGAGGGAGGTGGACCGGCTGGTGTCCTGGTGTCTCCTACAGGAGGGAGGTGGACCGGCTGGTGTCCTGGTGTCTCCTACAGGAGGGAGGTGGACCGGCTGGTGTCCTGGTGTCTCCTACAGGAGGGAGGTGGACCGGCTGGTGTCCTGGTGTCTCCTACAGGAGGGAGGTGGACCGGCTGGTTTCCTGGTGTCTCCTACAGGAGGGAGGTGGACCGGCTGGTGTCCTGGTGTCTCCTACAGGAGGGAGGTGGACCGGCTGGTGTCCTGGTGTCTCCTACAGGAGGGAGGTGGACCGGCTGGTGTCCTGGTGCAGTGGTAACAACCTGGAGCTGAACGCCCAGAAGACAGTGGAGATGATTGTGGACTTCAGGAAGAGCACTGTCCCCCCCGCCCCCACCCTCCGTGATGGACTCCCCCATCACCTCTGTGGAGTCCTTCCGTTTCCTGGGCACCACCATCACCCAGGACCTCAAGTGGGAGCCGACCATCAGCTCCTCATCAAGAAGGCCCAGCAGAGGATGTACTTCCTGCGGCAGCTCAGGAAAGCCAAGCTGCAGTTCTACACGGCCATCATCGAGTCCATCACCTCCTCCTCCATCACCTCCTCCATCACCTCCTCTTCACCTCCTCCATCACCTCCTCCATCACCTCCTCCATCACCTCCTCCATCACCTCCTCCATCACCTCCTCCATCACCTCCTCATCACCTCCTCATCACCTCCTCCATCACCTCCTCATCACCTCCTCATCACCTCCTCCATCACCTCCTCATCACCTCCTCATCACCTCCTCATCACCTCCTCCATCACCGTGTGGTTCGCTGGAGCCACAGTCAGGGACAAACAGAGACTACAGTGCATTGTGCGCTCTGCAGAGGAAGTGATCGGCCGCAGCCTTCCATCGCTGCAGGACCTGTACGTCGCCCGAGCTCGAGGCCGGGCTGGTCGTATCACAGCCGACCCCTCTCACCTGCACATGGACTATTCCAACCACTCCCCTCTCACCTGCACATGGACTATTCCAACCACTCTCCTCTCACCTGCACATGGACTATTCCAACCACTCCCCTCTCACCTGCACATGGACTATTCCAACCACTCCCCTCTCACCTGCACATGGACTATTCCAACCACTCCCCTCTCACCTGCACATGGACTATTCCAACCACTCCCCTCTCACCTGCACATGGACTATTCCAACCACTCCCCTCTCACCTGCACATGGACTATTCCAACCAATCCCCTCTCACCTGCACATGGACTATTCCAACCACTCCCCTCTCACCTGCACATGGACTATTCCAACCACTCCCCTCTCACCTGCACATGGACTGTTCCAACCACTCCCCTCTCACCTGCACATGGACTATTCCAACCACTCCCCTCTCACCTGCACATGGACTATTCCAACCACTCCCCTCAGGCAGGAGGCTGCGGTCCATCAGGACTAGAACCTCCCGCCACAAGAACAGTTTCTTCCCCTCTGCTGTTGGACTCTTGAACACTTCTTAACCTGTCCCCCCGCCCTTTATAAAGTCACTTTACTGCCCATCATACGTCACTTTACTTCACTGTACTGCTGTCACCTTACATTGTGTGCACCATGTGCACTTGGATATTGTAAATAGTAACTGTAACTCTATTTTAAATTTAAATTTATTCTTTAGAAGTGTTTTTTATTCTTATTTTTATTATCTCTTTTTGACTGTTGCACTGAGCCAAAGCAATTTCCAAGTCTGTGACCTCCTGTTACTTACGTGGCAATAAAAATGATTCTGATTCTGATTCTGATTCTGAGTAGCAGCAGCAGTAGCAGCAGCAGCAGCAGTAGCAGCAGCAGCAGTAGCAGTAGCAGCAGCAGTAGCAGCAGCAGCAGTAGCAGTAGCAGCAGCAGCAGCAGTAGCAGTAGTAGCAGTAGCAGCAGCAGCAGTAGTAGCAGTAGCAGCAGCAGCAGTAGTAGCAGTAGCAGCAGCAGCAGTAGTAGCAGTAGTAGCAGTAGCAGCAGTAGCAGCAGCAGCAGTAGTAGCAGTAGTAGCAGTAGCAGCAGCAGCAGTAGTAGCAGTAGCAGCAGCAGCAGTAGCAGTAGCAGCAGTAGCAGCAGCAGCAGTAGTAGCAGTAGTAGCAGTAGCAGCAGCAGCAGCAGCAGTAGCAGTAGCAGCAGTAGCAGCAGCAGCAGTAGTAGCAGTAGTAGCAGTAGCAGCAGCAGCAGTAGTAGCAGTAGCAGCAGCAGCAGTAGCAGCAGCAGCAGTAGTAGCAGCAGTAGAAGCAGCAGGTGATGGTCATAAGTTTAGGAAGAGTTGACGACATTTTCATTTTCACTGCAGATCTGAGTCTCAAAGCGGTTTACAATTGTTAATTTTGGGCACTTGTCTCTCACTCCACACAGAGATGGGAGGGGCCAGTACAGGAGGCACATGCCAGAACTATTGGACATATTTTTAGTGGTAGGGGAAACCGGAGTACCCGGAGGAAACCTACGCAGACACAGGGAGAACATGCAAACTCCACTCAGAAAGGCCCTGGTCCGACCGGGATATGAACCCAGGACCTTCTTGCTGAGAGGCGAGAGTGCTATCCACTCAGCCACCGTGCCACCGAGACTTTATCTCCCTGGACCAGGACTAGACTGGGACTGGACCAGTTCTGGACCGGGACTGGACCAGGACTGGACCGGGACTGGACCAGGACTGGACCGGGACTGGACCAGGACTAGACTGGGACTGGACCAGGACTGGACCGGGACTGGACTGGGACTGGACTGGGACACTTTTGCTTCTTGACGGCCCGGTTTATTTTAACTTATTTTTACAGTTACTTATACGGTTTGCAGAAGCACACACTGTAGACTCTGCAGAGGATCAGGAAGTCTGCGGTTTCAACAACTATAATAAAGTGCAAAAGTCTACATTACGACACTTTAGTTTCTCATGGTTTTATCTGAGTGAGCGATAAACAACAGGTCAAACCATAATCTCAGCCAATCTGTCTTTAAATCTGTTTGTTCACAGCATTTTACTGTTCGGCAAAACCAACATGAGCTGTTAATGCAATGGAAAAGTTTAATTTAGCAAGTTTTGTCCCGCTTCGTGAGGAGACACAGGAGAGAGAGAGACAGGAGAGAGAGACAGGAGAGAGAGACAGGAGAGAGAGACACAGGAGAGAGAAAGACACACAGGAGAGAGAGACAGGAGAGAGAGACACAGGAGAGAGAGACACAGGAGAGAGAAAGACACACAGGAGAGAGAGACAGGAGAGAGAGACACAGGAGAGAGAAAGACACACAGGAGAGAGAGACAGGAGAGAGAGACACAGGAGAGAGAGACACAGGAGAGAGAACCAGGAGAGAGAGACACACAAGAGAGAGAGAGACACACAGGAGAGAGACAGGAGAGAGAGACACAGGAGAGAGAGACACAGGAGAGAGAGACACAGGAGAGAGAGAGACAGGAGAGAGAGAGACAGGAGAGAGAGAGACACACAGGAGAGAGAGACAGGAGAGAGAGACACAGGAGAGAGACACAGGAGAGAGAGACACACAAGAGAGAGAGAGACACACAGGAGAGAGACAGGAGAGAGAGACACAGGAGAGAGAGACACAGGAGAGAGAACCAGGAGAGAGACACAGGAGAGAGAGAGACACAAGAGAGAGAGACACACAGGAGAGAGAGAGACACACAGGAGAGAGAGACACAGGAGAGAGAGACACACAGGAGAGAGAGACACAGGAGAGAGAGACACAGGAGAGAGAGACACAGGAGACACAGGAGAGAGAGACACAGGAGAGAGAGAGACACAGAGGAGAGAGAGACACACACAGGAGAGAGAGACACAGGAGAGAGAGATACAGGAGAGAGAGAGACACAGAGGAGAGAGAGACACAGGAGAGAGAGACAGGAGAGAGAGACACAGGAGAGAGAGACACAGGAGAGAGAGACACAGGGGAGAGAGATACAGGAGAGAGAGACAGGAGAGAGAGACACAGGAGAGAGAGACACAGGGGAGAGAGATACAGGAGAGAGAGACAGGAGAGAGAGAGACAGGAGAGAGAGACACAGGAGAGAGAGACACAGGGGAGAGAGATACAGGAGAGAGAGACACAGGAGAGAGAGACACAGGGGAGAGAGACACAGGAGAGACACACAGGAGAGAGAGACAGGAGAGAGAGACACAGGAGAGAGAACCAGGAGAGAGACATGAAGCAGACAGACCTGCCCAAATATGGGCATTGATCCTTCGGGCACGGCCCGGTACACCTGAAGGCCAGTCCAGGCCAGTCCTGGGCCCATACACTTCCATTCTCTATTTTACTGAAGTAAAATAAAGCTTGGTTCATTTAAAGGAGTCATCTGACAACATCCCTTGTTCTTATCAAACTAAAGTGAAAAGTGTGAATCAGAATCAAAGCGTGGAGCAGAGGATGATTGTTCATGTGATTTGAAAGGTTCTGGTCGTCACATGACTCTGATGGTGGCGAATGAAATTACTTCAGTGAGCATCAATGGAAGATATTTGATTGTTATGACACACACTCACACACACACACACACACACACTTCTAAAACTGAACCAACTTTAACTATTTCATCATTTGCACGAGGCTGTTCCAACGACAGTCAGGACTGTGTGGTTCAAAGTCCAGTCGACCGAAGAAATAAAATGCATGAGTCAAGTGTCAATGATGTTGACATTGTGACATTGTGTCATTGTTTGTTTTTATGACAGTATTTTTACACTTCTTAAAAATATGTTAGTTTAATTGCTAACGAATATCATAGTTGCCCCAGATTTCAAAACTTAGAAACAAACTATAGCTGCAAATTCCATGTCACCAATTAACAAGACTGAGTACTTTTTTAAATATTCATTTTTTTCTGCCAAAGTGGTCTTTTTTAACTCTTTAAGGATCACCTCATTTTGCCTGTTCTTCTCCTTATGAACCCAAATGGAAATGCTTATTGTGTGGACATCTTTTGTCTGATGTTGTGTTAACGCATTTGAAAGGCAACACACACAAGTGAATTCTAATACTGAGGCTGTTAAATTGAAAATATTTGAATAAATGAATCCTCCCTGTAGGGTGGAGGAGGGTGATCCTTAGAGGATGAAACATTTGTGAACAAATCAGATCACAACATTCTGTGTTATTCTTATGAGATCACATGTCATCTTTTACATACTGAGAGCTGATTGGCTGGTCTCGTTTTCATTGTAAACACTGACTGAATAATGAGACAGAGGCTCAGAGAACATGTAACCTTAACTCTAACTAGCAAACTTTGAAAACTTACTTATCATAGGGTTTTACAGTGAGGTACTCCAGCTTGAATCCAAATGGTAGTTGTCTATTTGGATTTCATTGATAAAAGATGGAGTACCTAAATGTATGTGTTTATCCAATGACATTATAAAGTAGTACCAAAAAATACCATTCAACAATTGACTGACACTTTGTGAAGAGACGCCGAAAACAAAAACGTAGAGAATGTGTATATTTCTGCCCAAAGCCAGTGCCGCCTGAGGCTCTGGGTCGCGTGGACACTCTGGTGGCAGCTAATCGCTCTTTTCCTGTTTCTCTGCGTCCGTCTGCCTGCACTCACCACCAGTTTAACCATTAATCGTCCCTATAAGCTACGTGAGCTAAGTGAAAGTCAACACACGCAGAATACATGCGCTGCTTTTGGATTAGCAACTGGAGCAACGGAAAGTAAAATAAACAGACTTCTAACCCAAGACGCAAACACATCAGAAACTGTTACAAAAGAAAAAAACTAATGCAAAATGACACCAGCTCCAGCGGTCTCTTGACACGCCGCTCACCGCCCTAGTTATTCTTTAATCTAGTTGTCATAACTCAAGATAACCAAACGTTAACGAATGACCATTGGACCACAGAATGGTACACACCCCTAGCATTAAACTACGATAATAATAAGCTTCAACTAAACAACCGTTTTTTTGCCATTTGACTTGAACACAACTTTACCAGCATTTTCATATCACAGCAAAGTAGCAAACGTACAATACTAAGTTTATAAAAGACTGATAAAAGTTGAAATGAAGTGTGGGAATAGAATTGTTGTGTTGCTGGTGTGAAGTACTCACTCGGCTGCTCTCCTTGAACAGTTTAAAACTCATCCACTTGGACATGTCTCCTGTGATCCTCAGTGTCCCTCTGCCTGCGCCTTCTCTGACAACTCCCTCGTTTGTGCGTCCGACACAACAGCGCACACACACACACAGGCGAGCACACAAGCACACCCTCGCTCTGAACAAACAGCCCCAGTTTTACATTACATGGGAACAGTGTGTGTGTGTGTGTGTGTGTGTGTGTGTGTGTGTGTGTGTGTGTGTGTGTGTGTAGATGTCATATGACTCGCAGACGCAGACTGCACGGCCACAGAACGAAGGATATGATTAAGACTCTGGAGAAAGCACACATCAGCTGTTTAGAATTGGCCTCACAATTGTTCTTAATGAGAAAGCTCAGTAAAAAAGACAAGGAATTAATTAACCATTGTCTTTGTAATGTTCAATAATCAGATCCAGATTGTCTACGCCGGAGTTCACCTGCTCCATTTAGGTTGGGAAATATTTACTGGTGACTATAGCCAAGACTTAGCCAATTCTCAAAACTCTCTTAGTCAGTGCATGTCATCTACAGTTTAATATCTATTGGTCCCACAGTGGAGAGATTTCAGTGTCATTGCTGCACATTACAGCAGAGAAAGTCAATTATTTAAGATTATAGACAATAAAACTAACATAGTAAGATGGAAAACTCTGGAGAGTTAGTCTATATCCACACGAAGACAAAACGCTTATAATTTCAGAAACGTTTTCTGTAAACACAGAGTTAGCTCAGTAAATGTGTGCGTCCATATGAATGTAGTCAATACGCCTGAAAACACTGTGAAACTATGCCAGACCTGTTGGTGGCGCTGTGACGCAATGACGGGATCAAGCCCAAACTTCCGTGACGGGAACTGGGCATGCGCAGAATGTTGTAAACAGACAACATGGCGAGTGTGCGAGCTGGTACTACATTAGTATGGACGGACGATGAGGTTGAACTGTTGCTTCGGGTCGCACTGGATTACAAAACCAACAAGCTACATTGTTGTTGTCATTATTTTCTGAGTGCGGCGCATGCTGCTTTAACAAGAGGCGGGGCGATGACGCGTCTCAGATACATTGCGGAGAGGCAGTAACCACGGAGCGGCATATACGGAGTTTTGAAATCTTTCCACTCTGGGACCTACTTTCAAAAATGTTCGTTTACACCCCCCCAAAACGCCGGCCTCGTATGGACGATACACTGGATTGATAAAGTATTTTTACGTTTAGGCCTGAGCTTGACTTCGTGTGGACAGGGCCTTAATGTCACTTGGTTCAGAAGTATTTACAGATGTGTATTTTGTACTTTAGCAGCGGAGAACATGAGCAGGATAAACATCAGTGATAATATCAGCAGTAAAGTGATTAGTGAATAATATAAAATACGATAGAGTTTATGGATCTCTGATGGAGAAATGTACATGTCATATTAAAACAGAATCAGATTTGTGCAAAAGACAGAAGTGTGGAACATGTTAAAGGTCAAATATAGTCTGTTCAGGATATAATTATGTAATGCAGGTGTTTTCAGTCCTAGTGCCTTAAAGTGACTTAAAGTGACTTATTGTACAGTCTGACAGCAGCAGGGATAAAGATGTGTCTACAAGCACCGACAGTATTAAAATAGAACCTATGCAGGATGTTCGCCACAGACACGACTTTCAGACAAAAATTGACTTAAAATGATTTTAGAAAAACGTTTGATATTTTCTTTTTAATCTGCTCGTGTGGCAAAGAACTGTATTTCTACCTGGGATTCAAAACTTAAACCTAATATTTGGAAATTATACAGAAACAGTTCTGGAATAATCAGGTTTAGGGCCATAATCTGTGAAGAAATGATAAATATGACAAGAATATGATATTGGACCTTTAGAGATGATCGCATTTGGACATTTATGAATCAAACCACCACAACAAATAAGTTTATATGTTATAATTCTGAAAATATATGAGCTGAACTATAAATAAAACTAACTTAACAATATTGTTCTAATGTCTGTCAGAGAGAATTTCTGTAAATCATATTGAATGAACTTATTTATCTCGTCAATGTAAGCTTTTGGAAATTTATCTAATTTAAATCTATTCGGAAACATTTTTGTTTTAATAAATTTGGTTTTTTTGCATCAATATTTGAGGATTTAGAATACATCTGTGAAGAGGATTTATTGTTGTTAAAAAAAGACTTGAAGGCCTTTGTGATTGGCTAATTACAACTATAGTGTGACGCGAGATCCGTCTCTGCGTCCTCTCCATCATCAGGACCAAACAGACGCAGCAGGATTCACGGCTGCTTGGCTCATGTGCATCAGTCTGAGTGACTTGGAAAACGTTTGATCTCACCGGACGTACGTGATCAAACTGCTCCAACGCTTTAAGGCGGCTGGCTGAGTGTGAAACGTATTCTGCACTGGCACAAGCGCTAAAAAAACTAATGTGGTGGAGTCAAAATGGCTGCCAACTTGTCACCCACTGGAATCTGTGTCTGCAGAGTGGACCGCAGGCAGCACCACACTGAGTCCTCGCACACACGTCACGGGAAAGACGTTAAAATCGTCACAGAAAACATCTTATTTAGAAAGTTTCTTTTTAAAGTGCAGAGAGAGAAACCAAACGTCTCCCAGCGAGGATAAAAGTAGAAACAAGTTATTACAGCAGCAGGAACAGGATCAAAACACGATTTAGGAAATACTGTGCAGCCAAAACAAGAACGACTTCATATGAGTTTATCAGTCTCCATCCAAGAAACAGACATTCTGACAAGTCCACCTGCTCCGAACAGTCAATAGTCAGTTATTATTCTATTGTTCATGTTATAAAGTAGAATATCTCAAAGCAGAAGGTACAGGAAAACAACCCTGGTCTTATCCATCTGTTCTCTCAGGTCCATCATCATGTCCTGCAGGTAACGTCTGGGTCTGGTCCCTGTGTTTGAGATTACAATCGGTTGAATTCCATCCGACCAATCAGAGAGCGCGGGAGGCGGGTGTTGTAGTTAGATGTGGATGACGTCAGAGTTTGTGTTGAACGGGCAGGTTGTAGTTTGGTGAAGAATGCGATAGTAAAGTATTCTGGTCTGGTTCTATCAAGAAACTGAAGCTGGAGCAAGAGGAATGTTTAGCAAATGTAATCTCTGGTAAAGATTGTGGCGCTACTTCCCACGGGATCCGTTAGTGGCAAAGGAGATGGCTAAAGCTAGGCTAAATGCTAAATGCTAACGACTCACTCGGGCTCATTACATACGTCACAGTAAACTCAGATCCAGTCGTTTCAATCTGTAAAAGGAGTTAGCCCCTCCCACCTGTTAACGGAGTCAATGGAGACAATCCAGACCTTAGTACAGAATGTAATTAGTACTATGGTGTGGTACGACCAGGCTACAGGTAAACAGTCTTTGCAGTAGAAAAACACTGCTGATTAAAAGTTAGATGTATAATGTGTGTAAACTACTATAAAGATAAATACTAAAAAAATAACAAACTAAAGTCAGACTGTGTTGACACTGATCATAGACAATTAATATAGACGCCAGACTTTTTTCAGAAACGTGATGTGAAATAGACTAAATGTGGAGCCATGAAATGTTATATGCGATAAAGGACTTACAAATAAACAACAGCGAAAAATTAAGAAGAAAATGTTAATTGGAGAGAATTTGGGAAACAGATCTAGAATACCTTTCCAAACTCCAACATAAGGACAGACTGATTACAGTGAGATATATCAAGATACAGTAGATCCTTTTTTGTTGAATTAGAGAAATAAATGAAAGTTTTTAACAATACTAAAGTTTCTCCTGTACACAATGTATCTGTTCTGATTGTGCACCTCCGTGATTGAGACTAAAGTTTAACTCAAGATTACAGGAATTTAGGAATAATCCAAAGAACCTTCCATTTGTAATTAAAAGCTACTTCAACTGTTTTGGGGATTTGCATTTACAGTGCCTTGCGAAAGTATTCGGCCCCCTTGAACCTTTCAACATTTTGCCATATTTCAAGCTTCAAACATAAATATATAAAAAAATATTTTTTTGTCATGAATCAACAACAAGTGGGACACAATCGTGAAGTGGAACAAAATGTATTGGATAATTTAAACTTTAACAAATAAAAAACTGAAAAGTGGGGCGTGCAATATTATTGGGCCCCTTTACTTTCAGTGCAGCAAAGTTCATCCAGAGTGATCATGGGCCTCTTGGCTGCATCTCTGATCAGTCTTCTCCTTGTTTGAGATGAAAGTTTGGAGGGACGGCCGGGTCTTGGTAGATTTGCAGTGGTCTGATACTCCTTCCATTTCAATATAATAGCTTGCACAGTGCTCCTTGAGATGTTTAAAGCTTGGGAAATCTTTTTGTATCCAAATCCGGCTTTAAACTTCTCCACAACAGTATCTCGGACCTGCCTGGTGTGTTCCTTTGTCTTCATGGTTCTCTCTGTGCTTTAAACAGAACCCTGAGACTATCAAAGAGCAGGTGCATTTATACGGAGACTTGATTACACACAGGAGCATTCTATTTATCATCATCAGTCATTTAGGACAACATTGGATCGTTCAAAGATCCTCACTGAACTTCTGGACTGAGTTTGCTGCACTGAAAGTAAAGGGGCCGAATAATATTGCATGCCCCACTTTTCAGTTTGTTATTTTTTTAAATAGTTTAAATTATCCAATAAATTTCGTTCCACTTCACGATTGTGTCCCACTTGTTGATTCATGACAAAAAATTGAAATGTTATATCTTAATGTTTGAAGCCTGAAATGTGGCGAAATGTTGAAAGGTTCAAGGGGGCCGAATACTTTCGCAAGACACTGTAGCTGCAATTATCCGGGTCTAGGACGACTCGTTCATGCATGACCCGCCGTAAATCACTCATACAGTAAATCACACGTAAATCCACAGAAACCAGTAAAACAGCAGCTTTTCCACCTCCACACACCGGAGTGGAAACCCTGACTCTGCAGCTCTTGCAGCCTCTGTGCAGCGTGTTGGACGCACATGAAACAGACACACGAGGAACTGAAACAGCAAAAACACAAACTGGATTTTCATGATATTATGAGACCGACTACAGCAGTGTTCCCCAACCTTTCTGAGCCGTGACAAACCACACACCAACGTAACCCAAACATAACCCAACCACACTAACGTACCATGGCACACTAACGTACCATGGCACACTAACGTACCATGGCACACTAACGTACCATGGCACACTAACGTACCATGGCACACTAACGTACCATGGCACACTAACGTACCATGGCACACTAACGTACCATGGCACACTAACGTACCATGGCACACTAACGTACCATGGCACACTAACGTACCATGGCACACTAACGTACTATGGCACACTAACAAACTGAGGCACACTACAACGTACCATGGCACACTAACGTACCATGGCACACTAACGTACCATGGCACACTAACGTACCATGGCACACTAACGTACCATGGCACACTAACGTACCATGGCACACTAACGTACCATGGCACACTAACGTACCATGGCACACTAACGTACTATGGCACACTAACGTACCATGGCACACTAACGTACCATGGCACACTAACGTACCATGGCACACTAACGTACCATGGCACACTAACGTACCATGGCACACTAACGTACCATGGCACACTAACGTACCATGGCACACTAACGTACCATGGCACACTAACGTACTATGGCACACTAACGTACCATGGCACACTAACGTACCATGGCACACTAACGTACCATGGCACACTAACGTACCATAACGTACCATGGCACACTAACGTACCATGGCACACTAACGTACCATGGCACACTAACGTACCATGGCACACTAACGTACCATGGCACACTAACGTACCATGGCACACTAACGTACCATGGCACACTAACGTACTATGGCACACTAACGTACCATAACGTACTATGGCACACTAACGTACCATGGCACACTAACGTACCATGGCACACTAACGTACCATGGCACACTAACGTACCATAACGTACCATGGCACACTAACAAACTGAGGCACACTAACGTACCATGGCACACTAACGTACCATGGCACACTAACGTACCATGGCACACTAACGTACCATGGCACACTAACGTACCATGGCACACTAACGTACCATGGCACACTAACGTACCATGGCACACTAACGTACCATGGCACACTAACGTACCATGGCACACTAACGTACCATGGCACACTAACGTACCATGGCACACTAACGTACCATGGCACACTAACGTACCATGGCACACTAACGTACTATGGCACACTAACGTACCATAACGTACTATGGCACACTAACGTACCATGGCACACTAACGTACCATGGCACACTAACGTACTATGGCACACTAACGTACCATAACGTACCATGGCACACTAACGTACCATGGCACACTAACGTACCATGGCACACTAACGTACCATGGCACACTAACGTACCATGGCACACTAACGTACCATGGCACACTAACGTACCATGGCACACTAACGTACCATGGCACACTAACGTACCATGGCACACTAACGTACCATGGCACACTAACGTACCATGGCACACTAACGTACCATGGCACACTAACGTACCATAACGTACCATGGCACACTAACGTACCATGGCACACTATCGTACCATGGCACACTAACGTACCATGGCACACTAACGTACCATGGCACACTAACGTACCATGGCACACTAACGTACCATGGCACACTAACGTACCATGGCACACTAACGTACCATGGCACACTAACGTACCATGGCACACTAACGTACCATGGCACACTAACATACCATGGCACACTAACGTACCATAACGTACCATGGCACACTAACGTACCATGGCACACTAACGTACCATGGCACACTAACGTACTATGGCACACTAACGTACCATGGCACACTAACGTACCATGGCACACTAACGTACCATGGCACACTAACGTACCATGGCACACTAACGTACCATGGCACACTAACGTACCATGGCACACTAACGTACCATAACGTACCATGGCACACTAACGTACCATGGCACACTAACGTACCATGGCACACTAACGTACTATGGCACACTAACGTACCATGGCACACTAACGTACCATGGCACACTAACGTACCATGGCACACTAACGTACCATGGCACACTAACGTACCATGGCACACTAACGTACCATGGCACACTAACGTACCATGGCACACTAACGTACCATGGCACACTAACGTACCATGGCACACTAACGTACTATGGCACACTAACGTACCATGGCACACTAACGTACCATGGCACACTAACGTACCATGGCACACTAACGTACCATGGCACACTAACGTACCATGGCACACTAACGTACCATGGCACACTAACGTACCATGGCACACTAACGTACCATGGCACACTAACGTACTATGGCACACTAACGTACCATGGCACACTAACGTACCATGGCACACTAACGTACCATGGCACACTAACGTACCATGGCACACTAACGTACCATAACGTACCATGGCACACTAACGTACCATGGCACACTAACGTACCATGGCACACTAACGTACTATGGCACACTAACGTACTATGGCACACTAACGTACCATGGCACACTAACGTACCATGGCACACTAACGTACCATGGCACACTAACGTACCATAACGTACTATGGCACACTAACGTACCATGGCACACTAACGTACCATGGCACACTAACGTACCATGGCACACTAACGTACTATGGCACACTAACGTACCATAACGTACCATGGCACACTAACAAACTGAGGCACCACTAACGTACCATGGCACACTAACGTACCATGGCACACTAACGTACCATGGCACACTAACGTACCATGGCACACTAACGTACCATGGCACACTAACGTACTATGGCACACTAACGTACCATGGCACACTAACGTACCATGGCACACTAACGTACCATGGCACACTAACGTACCATGGCACACTAACGTACCATGGCACACTAACGTACTATGGCACACTAACGTACCATAACGTACTATGGCACACTAACAAACTGAGGCACACTAACGTACCATGGCACACTAACGTACCATGGCACACTAACGTACCATGGCACACTAACGTACCATGGCACACTAACGTACCATGGCACACTAACGTACCATGGCACACTAACGTACCATAACGTACCATGGCACACTAACGTACCATGGCACACTAACGTACCATGGCACACTAACGTACCATGGCACACTAACGTACCATAGCACACTAACGTACCATAACGTACCATGGCACACTAACGTACCATGGCACACTAACGTACCATGGCACACTAACGTACCATAGCACACTAACGTACCATGGCACACTAACGTACCATAACGTACCATAGCACACTAACGTACCATAACGTACCATGGCACACTAACGTACCATGGCACACTAACGTACCATGGCACACTAACGTACCATGGCACACTAACGTACCATGGCACACTAACGTACCATAGCACACTAACGTACCATGGCACACTAACGTACCATAACGTACCATAGCACACAAACGTACCATGGCACACTAACGTACCATAACGTACCATGGCACACTAACGTACCATGGCACACTAACGTACCATAGCACACTAACGTACCATGGCACACTAACGTACCATAACGTACCATAGCACACAAACGTACCATGGCACACTGGTTGAGAAACACAGCCCTATGGTTCCCTGTGTTGTACATAAGTAAAAACAAAACAGACTTTAACTCGTAGCTGTTTGTGAAACCTGTGGATAAACTACAACAATGTCTATTTCAGAAAAAGACACCTCCGAGTTTATGTGTGTCCTAAATCCTTCAAACAATAGAAAGAACCGCACTCACTACACACACACACACACACTACACACACTCACACTACAAACACACACTCAGCTCCAAAATAGATGCAAAACAGAGTTAACTGTGGTCGAGCTGTTTTGTAAGAACATGCAAAACTACACAACCAGGCTGTGGATGTGAGAAGACGCTGCTGTGTGCATGGGTGACATTTCCAGACGGGGCAGTGTGGGCGTGGGGCAGTAAAAATGCCACACTGTAAAACTGGAGTGGGAGGACATCAGAGAGGATGAGGACGGAAAGCTGTAGGGTTTTGTACACTTCAAAACAACATGCAGGGAAAATAAATAAATAAATACATGTAAATTATATAGATTAGCAGCTGCATATTATCAACACAAAACAACATTACTTTTTTTCTTGTCTGTGTTGACCTGGACCTTGAGTCTGCTGATAAAGTTATCCATCTATCCTCAAAACAAGTTCGAGGGAGGACATGAAAAATCCACTTTCTAGTTCTGACAGACGGAATAGAAATGATTATTTATTTTAAAAACTACTCTCAACCCAGTTTTTATCATGAATTATATGTGAAATAAACAAAATCTGCAGCTCTTTCTAAGCCCTAGAGAACTACTAATATCATTAACAGCCATAAACACAGAAAAAACCAACAGAAAGACCAAGATGGATGAAAACTGTAGGGAAAATGTTTGAGGGAAGACTTCAGCGATCCTGATGATAAGAATCTAAAGAATCTGAAACTAAAGAATCAAATGTGCCCAAAACCAAACCATGAAACAAAAGTCCTTACTTGGATGTGGCTGGCTGTCTTGTAAGAAAGATCGGGACAGAATCCAGCACAAAACTTGAACAGATTTTTCATGGCTGCTGTTGATTGTAGTGTTTTGCTGTAATTATTTGCTGGAGAATGTAAACATAGATCCGTGTGCTCCTGCTGTGAACATGTGTCATCACTGAAGCTGTGAGAAACCCTGTGGCCCAGACACAGCTGCAGCTCATCAGGCACTCATCAGGCACACAGCAGGGGGCCCACAGCAGACACAGGCCCACAGCAGGCCCACAGCAGGCCCACAGCAGGCCCACAGCAGGCCCACAGCAGGCCCACAGCAGGCCCACAGCAGGCCCACAGCAGGCACAGGCCCACAGCAGGCCCACAGCAGACACAGGCTCACAGCAGACTCATGCCCACAGCAGGCCCACAGCAGACACAGGCTCACAGCAGACTCATGCCCACAGCAGGCCCACAGCAGACACAGGCCCACAGCAGGCCCACAGCAGACACAGGCTCACAGCAGACTCATGCCCACAGCAGGCCCACAGCAGGCCCACAGCAGACACAGGCCCACAGCAGGCCCACAGCAGACACAGGCCCACAGCAGACACAGGCCCACAGCAGGCCCACAGCAGACTCATGCCCACAGCAGGCCCACAGCAGGCCCACAGCAGGCCCACAGCAGACACAGGCCCACAGCAGACACAGGCCCACAGCAGGCCCACAGCAGGCCCACAGCAGACACAGGCCCACAGCAGACTCATGCCCACAGCAGGCCCACAGCAGGCCCACAGCAGACACAGGCCCACAGCAGACACAGGCCCACAGCAGGCTCAGGACCCCTGTAGTGCAGAGTGGAGGTGGGGGCTTTACCTTGTCGCTGTCCACTGTGTTCTGGGACGTCCTGGAGGCGATGGAGATGGTGTCGGGCTGACTGCTGCCGTCTCCCTGACTGTCCCCGTCCTCCACTCCCTCCCTAAACACAGAAACATTTGTGTTATCAGTGCAAACACAAATAATCAGGAACAGTTTGAGCTGCCTGGATAACACAGCGAGTGTGGTCTTTGTTTAGTGAGGAAGTTTATAATAGTTCTAAAAATGAGTCTGGTCCTCAATCACCTCTTCCTGGGTTTGCTCAGTGTCTTAGGCAGATGCAGAGGCTCCTTCAGGGCTCCTTTCAGGGTCATCCTCTCCTGGATCACCTCCCGAATGTTCTTTATCCACTCTTGCTTTACTTCTATAGTAGAAGCCTGTCGTCAAATACACATGATTATTGCATGTTTCTATGCAGAAAATCACAGAATACAATAAAACCCTTACAATAAAAACAAGAGAACAAACCTTCAACACAGTTTTATTATCAGAAGATGGGGTTCTTCCAGACCACAGGGCAAATTTACACGGATCACCTTCTATGTGTTCAGTTATTCCCATCTCTGATGTCTGGAACAGACAAATGGAGAGTTAGAATAATAAGATTGTTAAATAACTAAAGCACCAGTTAAGGACCAGGCCAGACGTACCAGTAGTCTGTTCTTGTACTGGTACTTGGTACGTCCTGCTGCGTCTTTTATGTCTTTGCTGAAAACTAATGAGAACTCAAAGAGAAAGAGATGTCGATCTCGTCCCTTCCTGATTAGGGAACGAGGATCCCAAACCTGGAAGCTGTCCTGAAGGATGAGCTCCCCCTGCGCCTCCACACTGTCCTCGAACCCTGCGGAGGAGAGCAGCAGGGTGTGAGACCCCTGCAGACTCGTACCTTTGTCTCAGTTTTTCCCCTGCAGACCTGTACCTTTGTCTCAGTTTTTCCCCTGCAGACTTGTACCTTTGTCTCAGTTTTACCCCTGCAGACTCGTACCTTTGTCTCAGTTTTCTCCCTGCGGTATCGTACCTTTGTCTCAGTTTTACCCCTGCAGACTCGTACCTTTGTCTCAGTTTTACCCCTGCAGACTCGTACCTTTGTCTCAGTTTTCTCCCTGCGGTATCGTACCTTTGTCTCAGTTTTACCCCTGCAGACTTGTACCTTTGTCTCAGTTTTACCCCTGCAGACCTGTACCTTTGTCTGAGTTTTTCCCCTGCAGACCCGTACCTTGGCGGACAGTCTGAAGTGGTGACACTCCTGGAGCAGCCGCTGTGTGTCCTCGCCGCCGTCTCCCGGTGACGTGTGTGAGCTCAGGTAAACTTCGCCCGTTTCCTGAATCCAGTCCAGAGCCTGAACAAAGACAGTGTGAGACAGTCTGACATCTCACTCCGACACCTTCCTCCTCTCTGAGCGTAAAAGTCACAGATTCTTCCCAAAGTCGTAGTAGAACATCTGTGTTTCTGCTCGTTTGTGGCGTGTGGATTCACGAACCTGCTTGGCGCTGCGCTCAAACATCACAAACTGCTGGCACTGGTCCAGCCGCCGTTTCTTCAGCGTCCAAAAGTGAAGGACCCGGTTTTCTCTCTGCAGCAGCTCGTTCAAGATGGCTGCACACAGCAAAGGGACGCCATGTTAGCCGCCAACACCTCATCAGAGCCAGACGGTTAGCAGTGAATCTGCAGACTACAACCTACTGTAGTACCCTCAGACTGTCACTTCAGACTTTCATATCAATCATACTCTGGTCCTTTAAAGCTGGGGTACCTGACTTTCAAACCACAATAATATAACTTTGAATCATATCCTTGGAAAACAGTTTGTTGTATTTGTCTTTGGTTGAGTTTTTTCAGACAGAACAGTGAAGAAGTGAGAAAGTAGGGACCTCAATCATCTCTCAGCCCAAAGCGTCAAAAAATGACTCATAAGGATTGTTCTCACAGGTACAAAAAATATAACATTTTCTAATAAGAAGAAGGCATCGTGTTGTGGTCGGATTTTCTCACACAATATTACTTAAACAAGACTCCTTCGGTTTCGGACTAACAAGGTACATTATCTAAGAAAAATTAAGGTAAGGTTCCCCAGCTTTAACGAAAATACACATTACAGATAGTTTATGTTAATTCAGCTCTAAAAGTAGCATTTAACAAAGAGCCACACATTGATGCACTTATGTCCAGACTCTATTTCTTTATTTTTTATTTAGTACCAGTGAGGCACTAAAGGCTGGTGCGTCACATGCAGAACAAGGTGTAAATGTGCCATACAACTAACATTGACCTTAACAAGACCATATCCCCACAGATTACAGATCACAGTCCCATAATGAGACCCCTGCTCACTAGACCATGTGTGTCAGTGAACACTGTAAAACCATGTGCGTGTCAGTGAACACTATAAAACCATGTGTGTCAGTGAACACTATAAGACCACGTGTGTCAGTGAACACTATAAGACCATGTGTGTCAGTGAACACTATAAAACCATGTGCGTGTCAGTGAACACTATAAGACCATGTGTGTGTCAGTGAACACTATAAAACCATGTGTGTCAGTGAACACTATAAGACCATGTGCGTGTCAGTGAACACTATAAGACCATGTGTGTGTCAGTGAACACTATAAAACCATGTGTGTCAGTGAACACTATAAAACCATGTGTGTCAGTGAACACTATAAAACCATGTGTGTCAGCGAACACTATAAAACCATGTGTGTCAGTGAACACTATAAAACCATGTGTGTCAGTGAACACTATAAAACCATGTGTGTGTCAGTGAACACTATAAAACCATATGTGTCAGTGAACACTATAAAACCATATGTGTCAGTGAACACTATAAAACCATGTGTGTCAGCGAACACTATAAAACCATGTGTGTCAGCGAACACTATAAAACCATGTGTGTCAGTGAACACTATAAAACCATGTGTGTCAGTGAACACTATAAAACCATGTGTGTCAGCGAACACTATAAAACCATGTGTGTCAGCGAACACTATAAAACCATGTGTGTGCCAGTGAACACTATAAAACCATGTGTGTCAGCGAACCCTATAAAACCATATGTGTCAGCGAACACTATAAAACCATATGTGTCAGCGAACACTATAAAACCATGTGTGTCAGTGAACACTATAAAACCATGTGTGTGTCAGTGAACACTATAAAACCATGTGTGTCAGTGAACACTATAAAACCATATGTGTCAGCGAACACTATAAAACCATGTGTGTCAATGAACACTATAAAACCATGTGTGTCAGTGAACACTATAAGACCATGTGTGTGTCAGTGAACACTATAAAACCATGTGTGTCAGTGAACACTATAAAACCATGTGTGTCAGCGAACACTATAAAACCATGTGTGTCAGTGAACACTATAAAACCATGTGTGTCAGTGAACACTATAAAACCATGTGTGTCAGTGAACACTATAAAACCATGTGTGTCAGCGAACACTATAAAACCATGTGTGTCAGTGAACACTATAAAACCATGTGTGTCAGTGAACACTATAAAACCATGTGTGTCAGCGAACACTATAAAACCATGTGTGTCAGTGAACACTATAAAACCATGTGTGTCAGCGAACACTATAAAACCATGTGTGTCAGTGAACACTATAAAACCATGTGTGTCAGTGAACACTATAAAACCATGTGTGTCAGTGAACACTATAAAACCATGTGTGTCAGTGAACACTATAAGACCATGTGTGTGTCAGTGAACACTATAAAACCATGTGTGTCAGTGAACACTATAAGACCATGTGTGTCAGTGAACACTATAAGACCATGTGCGTCAGTGAACACTATAAAACCATGTGTGTCAGTGAACACTATAAAACCATGTGTGTCAGTGAACACTATAATACCATGTGTGTGTCAGTGAACACTATAAAACCATGTGTGTCAGTGAACACTATAAGACCATGTGTGTCAGTGAACACTATAAGACCATGTGTGTCAGTGAACACAATAAAACCATGTGTGTCAGTGAACAATATAAAACCATGTGTGTCAGTGAACACTATAAGACCATGTGTGTGTCAGTGAACACTATAAAACCATGTGTATGTCAGTGAACACTATAAAACCATGTGTGTCAGTGAACACTATAAGACCATGTGTTTGTCAGTGAACACTATAAAACCATGTGTGTCAGTGAACACTATAAAACCATGTGTGTCAGCGAACACTATAAAACCATGTGTGTCAGTGAACACTATAAAACCATGTGTGTCAGTGAACACCATAAGAACATGTGCTGGTGCAGAGAATCAATTAATCCTTCAAAGATAACAACTATTTAGCCCATGGAACAAATGACTCTCCCTCGACACATGTGTTTTAGTGGTACACAATAACAAAGCAGCAGTACACAACATGATCGCCGCAGGTTCACACCGTGGGGCGTGACAATAGTGTGTGTCTCTCACCTTTGACCTGCTGCTCGGGGCCCCTGGGGTGGCTGGCAGCTCCGGGGACGCTCACGTTGTTCCTGTGAATGTATTTCAGAAACACCTCTGCGTTCCTCCGAGCCAGAGTGCACGCCTGGGACACACAATCAGACATTATCCGACACATATGCATAATTCACAGCAGATACCGATGAGCCTCCTGATGCCAACAACATTAGCCGTACTGAGCCGATGTTTGTACTCAGCGGGTCATAAAATGTTCGAAATGAGTTTATGTGTGATTTTACCTTCAGAAAGGCTTCCTTCTGCTCCAGGTGTTTGCTGATCAGAGGATGGAGATGGTCGCTCTCTGCTGAAGATCCCAGTTTCTCATGAGTGGCACACCAGTCCTCATCCCGACGATACTCCTGCTCCAAACTCTCCAGCACGCTACAAACCTGGACACACACACACACACACACACACACACACACAGTATAAAGATATAGCTCCAGTGTTTGGTTTGCTACAGTGGCTGCTATGGTACATCTGCAGACATTATCTTTTCTAGGGTTCTGTCTGTCTGTCTGTTTGTCTGTGTGTGTGTGTCTGTCTGTCTGTCTGTGTGTCTGAGTGTGTGTGTGTGTGTCTTTGTGTGTGTCTGTATTTTAGTATATAAAGTTATTGTTCATTCATTGTGTTGCTGTGCTCCTCATACCTACTGTTTTGTGGTGATGCAACACTCTCTTAATCTTAATTTCAATCTGAATCTTGATAAGCACGACATAAAATGATTCTAGACACAGGAGACAATTCCATACAATTCACTTTAAATTCAAGGCCTCCCATTTAATGCTCCGTCCCTTCTTTTTGTGACTTTCTATACCATTTCCAATCACAGGTAAAAATATCAGGAAAAAGTATTGATATTGCGCAGACAAAATGTATATTATGAGTAATTGAAAACCATGTGTCCTTCGGTACCTGCTCAGACGTCTTGTAGAAGGCCACAGAAGCGTTGACCAGTTTGAGACGGTCCTCCATCTTGAGCATGAGCTGCTGCCAGTGCACGGCCACTTTCTCTGCACAGTTCCTGATGGCGTCGGGGTCGTAGTGTCCGGCCTGGAGCATCATCTGCGCCACGGGAGGAACATGTGAGGAACATGTGGGGAACATGTGAGGAACATGTGAGGAACATGTGAGGAACACGTGAGGAACACGTGAGGAACATGTGAGGAACACGTGAGGAACATGTGAGGAACATGTGAGGAACATGTGAGGAACATGTGAGGAACATGTGAGGAACATGTGGGGAACATGTGAGGAACATGTGAGGAACATGTGAGGAACATGTGAGGAACACGTGAGGAACACGTGAGGAACACATGAGGAACATGTGAGGAACATGTGAGGAACACGTGAGGAACATGTGAGGAACATGTGAGGAACATGTGAGGAACACGTGAGGAACATGTGAGGAACATGTGAGGAACATGTGAGGAACCGTGTCAAAGTCAAACCACTCTCACTGAACACGGATTTATTCACCTCTGCTTTTTGCTGGACTTGCAGCGCGCTCTGATGCGTCTTCTGAAGAGAGTTGGCGTGAAACAGAGACTGGAGAAAAGGAAATATGAAGAAAAGTGTTGGTCAGGGTTGAGGTACCCAACCTTTTTTATCTATAAATAATACTGTTTGTCCCGACAGAACATCACTGAACAAATGAGACATGCTGTTTTTATCCAATCAGTGAGAAGGAGCCTTTGAGTCATTCTTTGATGCTTTGAGCTGATTGGGTAAAAGAGCGTGGTCCTTTTGTCTATAAAAATCTAAAAGAAAACTAAAAGGCCAAAAGTACACACACATGAAAACAAGATCGATAAACTTTATTGATCCCAAAGGAGATCAGATTTATTTTTTTTGTTGAAAATTTCTACGTCTAAAAAAACAAAAGACATGTTTGTATTAGTTTAGTTTTATGTTTGTGGATTGAAAGTTGGTAGAGCATCTGCCTTTGGGCCTGAAGGTCGTGGGTTTGAGTCCACCATGAGACCTACTTCACGACTCCCACTGATGACTGCTGTTGTTGTGTCCTTGGGCAAGACACTTAACCCCACTTTGCCTGAAGCCCCCACTGAAAGATCTCAGCTCCTGTGGACTCAGCACCTGCAGGAGGATCAGTGAGGGGCTGGTGCTCTGACTGCCACCTCCGACCCAGAATGGATTAAGGGGAAGAGAATGAAGGGATAGATAGTTTGAAAGTTAGGTAACCCAGCTTTAATTGGATAATAAATGATGCACTGTATTATACATGCAAAGCTCTTTAAGTAATCATAGGTTTATTATTGTCTTTATGTTTCACTGACATCATTCTTGAGTCGAAGAGTTGGATAGAAAACTGAAGTCAACGACACAAAGACAGTTCCAGGAGAAATGTCCAGAGCATAACGCTGCATTACGTCACTCGCACAGAGTCTGCAGCGTCTGTAGCGTCTCGAGTCGGGACAATCTGAGGTTTGAATTCAGGCCAAAAAGCAGAAGCTGGACCAAAGCCAGACTCTGGACCAAAGCCAGACTCATGTGTAACAGCTCTGACCAGTGTTTTACCAAAGAGACAAATCACACACTCAAGTAAAACATTAAAAAGTCAAAACAAATTTACCGTTTTCCAATATGTTCTGTTTATAGCTCTGCATCTCCCCGGAGTTCACAATAGTCTTAGCTGTTTACATCATTTAGTTTCACATTCAACATCTCTGCAGACTGCATGAAACTCATCAAAAATCCACAATATTACACAAAAAACCCATCTGCTCCTTTTCAGAATCAATACAAAGTGGTATGATTCTAGCGCCGCTCTGGTTGGGTTGAGACGTGCACTGTACAAACACACTGGAGTCATTAAAAGCAGAGTACAGAGGTTTGGGGCTGGGATAATTGGGTCGTACCTCTATAGCCATCTGGAACTGCTCGTGCTCCCTCTGCAGCTGCTCCGCCTCCGACAGCGAGCTGGCGTTCACCATACTGGCGTTCAGCATGGACTCGCCGTTACGGATCCAGCCCAGCACCTACACACGCAGGAACACACGGAGGTTATTACTGAGACAATGGAGCTTTTCACTTCCAGTAATTTATACACTTTAGCTATAACTGCGCTGCTGATCGGGACGTTTCAAGAGATCCTTTGTTCCATCGGCTGTCAGACTGTACAACGAACCTGGATGAGTCTTCTGCTGCTCGACACATGAATTTCTCCGACAAGGGTCAATTAAGTGTCTATCTATCTTTCTACACTGGGACCATTAGGGTTAGTGCTAGAAATAAACCAGAGGAACCAAACTTTAGAATTGTCCTGTAATATTCATATATTTATATCTTCTGACTATATATTTTATAATATATAATAATAAAAAGTATAATATATACTGTATGATTAGCAGTGCTTCTGGCAGGAAAAAGAATAAATAACAAAGCAACCCCCCCCCCCCCCCCACACACACACACACACACACACGAATACACAATACACACACACACACACACACACACACACCCACAAACACCCACACACACCCCCACACACACACTCTCACCCACACACACACCCACACACCCACCCACCCACACACACACACACCCCCACACACACCCACACACACACACACACACACACACCCACACACACCCCCACACACACACACACACCCCACACACACACACACACACACACACACACACCCACACACTCAGGTTGAGAGGTGTAACAGTGCGGTGCCAGCCGTATTGCCCCATTGCCATCGGTCTCATTAATAATTCAGTTTTCTCCGTCTCTCGCTGGAGTCTGCTTCCTGTTGCAGCTCTCAGCACATTTACATTCACAGCTGCAACAGCTCCTCCAAAGAAAGAGAAAAACTAAACACATGGGTTTCCGTCAGAATCAGAGCGGGCGATGACATTGTCCCACGAGACTCTCCACAAATCACTTTCTTTGTTTCTATTGAAGTCCAGCCCATGAGAGTTTCATCCCTACACTACACACAACTGTGGCACTACACACAACTGTGGCACTACACACAACTGTGGCACTACACACAACTGTGGCACTACACACAACTGTGGCACTACACACAGTTAAAGAACACACACTTTGAGGACGATACAAATCCTTATATATGAATAATGTATGCAACAGAGCAGTGTTCCCCAACCTTTTTACACAGTTTTTACACACACCTTTTTCATTTGAAACAATCACACGACACCAGCTGACACTGATACAAACTGATGTGACTCTGCTGCGTTATCCACAAAACAAAGTCAAATTGAATATTCAAGATCCAATATCACCGACTTATTTTGGCCAAGTGGGTGATACTGGATCATTTCCCGAGGCACATTAACGTATTAACTGGTTGAAAAACACAACCACTCAGCACCTGTTTGACTTCGGCCTGTAGGTGGCGCAGTTGTAGGCTCTGCTCCAGTCGTGTGTGGTTGTGTTGAGCGCTGAGGTCCACCTCCTGCTGTTTCTCATGAAGAAACTCCAGCAGCTCCTGGACCTGAGCCGCCAGGTCCATGTCCTTCTCCCCGGTCAGCTCAATCCCTGACGCACAAAAACACACAAAAGAACATTTTACTTTCAAGAGAATAACGCTACAGCAACTTTTACTAGATTTTATGACTGTAAAATAATACGTAAGAAAAGGAAAAAATATAAATGTGGCGAAAACATACTAATGGATTTTCTGTGTGTTGTTATTTCAATACACATACAATAAAATCACAAAAATGAATGTTCCCTGAAATTGGACGCAGTACTGATGTCCAACACCAGGGGGCGGTTTGAGCCAAGCCTCTGTCTGAATCTATGACATATTTAAGAGGATTTTACTCAGTGACAGTTTAACCCAATTCGGTCTTTTCTACAGACTGCTCCTCGGGATGATAGTTAATGACAGAAAACAAATCCATTCTAGATCATTCTGTCTCTGGGTCAGTCTGGCTCCAACGTTACACACTGATGACAAAGTGCACAATGAAAATCTGCAAGAGTGGACAGAATAATGCAAACAGAACCGTTTTAGAACATTTTTTTGACTGAAACGAATTGATAATTTGAGTTTTCATATCAGTGCGATGCAAAACTGACTCAGCACCGACAGTGTGACTACAGTGAGCTGTGCTTTGACTCTTGGCAGGTCAGATGTAGTGATTACAGGTCAGATAAAGAAGCAAAAAAAGTTACTCAAGTAAAAGAAAAAAAAATCTACAAAACTCCTTGTTTCTGTCACTATCGTTCTGTTCTGTGTCATTATTGATAACAGTTTTTACTTTGTCTGTTTCTAAATGTTTAATTTTAGTGTGTTTGTGTGTGTTATGTTTGTATTTATGTTTAGGACCCCTCAAAAATCACATGATTAATCTGAAGGGGTTTTCCTTAATAAACTTAAACTTAATAAACAAATGAATAGCCCTAAAAAACTGAAAACACAGAAAAGCTTAGATACTTAAAGTTAAATTTACAAATCACAAAATTCTTTGCTCTAAACAGTTTCCATCTCTGGGTTTCACATGTATGTGTTACAGACGGCTGCTACATCTTTAGAGCCACTTATTCAGACAGAACAGAGAAAAGGGAGGAGCATAATCTCTCGGCCAATCAGCTCTTAGCCTCAGAACACTGACTCTATCCTAATGTGACAGTTTACATTCATGATGCTTTCTGTTGGAACAAGAACCAAGTGTTCATTCTGAGGAAAGAAAAGTTACTTCAGCTTTAAATGTGTTAAAAAAACTATTTTAGTCCATCATAGTTTTTATTTAAATACACATTGGTCTCTGCTCCTTACGGAACAATGGATCTATTTTTTTTATCGTTGCATTTTTTGTGTTCTGGGTTTGATTCTTTGATCTGTTTTCAACGTTTTTGTTAAGTTTTCCAACATAATTACGATTGTGATTTAGGGCTAAAATAAATTGTCACTATTTTTTTATATTCTTGTGTTTCATCTGACGTCAGGGCAGTGGCGCAAATAACAAACGTAGGACAGGACGTGACGTATCCTGGCGCTGCAGTCTGCCGGGTTTATACACGGAGATATAGTAGAAGAAGAAGTGGTTTATACACGGAGATATAGTAGAAGAAGAAGTGGTTTATACACGGAGATATAGTAGAAGAAGAAGTGGTTTATACACGGAGATATAGTAGAAGAAGAAGTGGTTTATACACGGAGATATAGTAGAAGAAGAAGTGGTTTATACACGGAGATATAGTAGAAGAAGAAGTGGTTTATACACAGAGATATAGTAGAAGAAGAAGCGCTGTCAAAACACCATCTTTGTGTGCGGTGTACGCTTGTAGCAACCGCACAAATACAGAGAAAGACCAGAGTTTGTTCATGTTCCAACTGTGTCTCATATAAAGGAGGACACTTTAAAACAGTCACTGGAATGAGGCAGAGGTGGATCAAGGCTTTCCCAGATAAGCGCCCCCTGCAGGCCACCCCAATGAAACGCAGCCATTTCTTCTGTTTTTCTATGTTTGTATTTTTAAATGCCCAAAATAAAGACTCTTTTTAGAAATATTTGTTAGTCCTCCCTTAGAATTGAGTATCCCCGATTATTCGCCCCCTACTGGCCGGTTTAGTGAAACCCAAGAGTACAGACTATATTTATAACTAGTGCTGTCCAACGATTAAAATATTTAATTGCAATTAATCACATGAATTTCATAGTTAACTCGCGATTAATCGCAAATTAGTCACACATTTGTATCTATTCTTTATGTCCCTTGAATTAATTAAAATAAAATAAAAATAATAAAATAAAATTAATAATAATAAGAAAATAAAATAAAAAATGAATGAATAAGTAGATAAATATAATAATAACATGAATAATATGTGCATATGTGCATATAATGATAATACACAAGTCAGGGTAAGCTTATTTTAATGCATGACACGTTTAGTTAAGAAAAACACTTGGGAAAAAGGAACAAAATAAGAGAGGGAATGGGCCGGGCGTGGGCTCCCTCCCCCCCTGTTTGGGGTGGGGGCCTGCTTGGGGGCCTGTGTGTGTGTCGGATTTGGTTTTGATGTTGGCTGGGTTCCGCTTACTGTAGCTTGGTGAAACTCAGGCGGGAAGACTTTATATCTTATCTTATCTGTGGGGTGTATGTGTGTGTGTGTGTGGAGTGTGTGTGTTTATGGGTGTGTGTGTATGTGTGTATGTGTGTGGGTGTGTGTGTGTATGTGTGGGTATAGACCATAGACTGTATAGAAACATCATGGTGTCATTATGATGATGATAAACAATCTGTAAATATTTTGTAAATTTGTTCATGTAAATACTCTATGCTGTTTCTCTGTTTACCTTCGGTATATCTATGACTGTATACTGTTTGCTTGTATTGCCTTTTTTATTAACCCCTCCCCCCCATATCCCACTTCATGCCCCCCCCCTCCTATGTGCCCTTCTGGGTTTCTTCTTTGGCCCCCTGTATCTCCAACTACATATTGTTTGTAATCTCTGTCTACAATGTATCTGAACTAGTCCTTTTCTTTGTTTCTATTTTTTTTTCTGTATATGTGTTTGTCTGCAATAAAAAGTAAAAAAAAAAAAAAAAAATTTTTTTTTTTTCTAAATCGCGCGATAAAAAAAATGACGCCGTTAATATTGATTTGCGTTAACGCGTTAATAACGCGATATTTTGGACAGCACTATTTATAACCATAACATGTTGCACACTTCTGTCTTTTTGTCTGTGCCAAATATGACATGTGCATTTCTCCAGTGTGAGATCAATAAACTCTATCTTATCTTATCTTAGATTTCTTTGAATATACTTTTGCATTGACTCTTTCCAGCGCAGCCTCAATACGAAGTGGGCGGAGCTACCTGAAGCCTGGACCTCCATGATGTACTGGTGCAGGTCCTGACCCTGCTGCATCACTTCGTACGTCATGTTGTTCATTGCGGCTTTTCTCTCCGCGTGTCGCTTCAGCCTCTGCTCGGCCAACGCTATGTCCTCAGAGGAGCTCGAGGAGGAGCTGCTGCCCCCACTGCTGCTGCCGCTGCCTCCCCCAGAGCGGCCCACGTCTCCCATCTGCCGGGACAGGTCCTCGTTCCAGGCGTCCAACTCCGATGTCACCTACAAATAGGAAAGTCAGAGGAAAGAAGGAGATATGGTTAGATTGTTCTGGAATCTAATCCTAATGTAAGATCAAAAATATGTATTAATGTATCAAGATTACAATATTGTCCTTCTATTATTCTTGTTTTCAGATTCTTATTCTTATTGTGAGATACTGTGACAACGCTATTTCCCTGTGGATCAAAAAAGTCTAAGTCTATCAGTTTGAACAAAGTATGCAACAATCTTTCACAGTATTTAAACTATTTTTGTTAATTGGTTTCACAGTGACAATTATTTCTTCTACTTTTTAGTCACTCTGATATCCCTCGACTATATTCTGTGAAGGACATAATTATGTACAATAAAAAGTGGCAATAGCAGTGTAGGTTTTTTTCAGTCCTAGTGCATCAGTGACTTTAAATGACTTCTTCTACAGTCTGACAGCGGTGGGTATAAAGGCCCTGCAGTAGCGCTTCTTCTAACACTGTGGGGGTTTTTTGTTTTTGCTGTTTTTATTAGTTTATTTGACAGGGACATTGTGCATTAATAAAACATTACTGTAAATGCACCAGAATTAGCCAAGCAGGGTACTTTTCATCTGCAGTCCCTGGACAGGTGCACATATCTCCATAAAGATAATAACAGTAAAGTCAGACAATAATAAAACGCAGAAAAACACAGACAGTCGGGAAAACAAGAATACACACATCATACAATAAAAACACAGCTCAAATACAAAATATATTTACAAAGCAATGAGGAAACTGCCCAGACTAATGGTGACATGTCTGCTGTGTTACTAATCAGTTTTTCAGATGTTATTTGAAATGGGTTATGAGCTTGTTCTGTTTATGTATTTGTCTCATGCACTTTGGACATTTGTGTGTGTTCCAATGTGGTTTTACTGCAACTGGAAAATAATCTGAATCTGAAAATATCATTATTTTACACGACTGTTTGTTACAAGAAGAGCTCCGTTGACTTCATCTTCAAAGTCATATTGTTTTTATATTTCCATGGGAGGAGAGAAAACCGGATAACTCTCCTGGTCCAATTTAAACAGATTGAGCAGCGGGCGCATAAACCCAGACCAACTCCAATTGATTCAGATTCAGATTCAGATTCAGTGTAATCAAAAGTCAAGCAGGTTTTGACTGTAGTCCACACATTTAGACGATTACCTCAATAGTGTACTGCTCAAAGATGCGTAGTTGAAGAAAAATGTCCAGTTTGATTTTTCGCTCGTGGAAAAGCTCCTCCATCTGACCCTGCGCCTCGTCCAGCTGCTGCAGCACCCCCTGGATGTGTGCGATGGAACTGCAGTGTGGCGTTTTGTTGGTGGACATGGCTGCATCTCTGTGTCGGGAGAGACATTTTATTGACAATTATACAGTTGTTTCCCGTGACTTGGACACACAGCAAAGATTACCTGAAGATGTTGTTTCATGTTGGAAGTATTGGCAACTACACTTGCTCATATCTTTATTCCCAAAGTGATCTCACACGTCTGACTTAAGTTGTGGTGGATATAACTCTGTGGGAGCCTGTCCTGCCATCATCAAAAAGCCCGTACTGCACTTCGCAGGAGAGTGTTCTGTACCAGCATAAACCGTGCCATCTAAAATCCTATGGTTAACCTACCTTTTATAACCGCGATTACCGTAAAACCGGTTAATCTCGGTAACCTTAATTGACACTGATAATAATAATGGAGAGAGTACCTGAGCTGCTGCATTAGCTCCTCCCCCTCTTTGATGACGTTCAGCGTGGCCTCCAGCGTGGCCGTCTGCTGCTGCTGGAACTGCTGGATCAGAGTCTGCACCGAGTCCACAGAGTCACACGTCACATCGTCCAAGAGCTGCTTCTGTAGCTCCTCCATCCAGGACCACAGCTGCAAACACACACATGATGTTATAATGAGGACACATCCAGGACCACAGCTGCAAACACACACATGATGTTATAATGAGGACACATCCAGGACCACAGCTGCAAACACACACATGATGTTATAATGAGGACACATCCAGGACCACAGCTGCAGACACACACATGATGTTATAATGAGAACACACTCAGGACCACAGCTGCAAACACACACATGATGTTATAATGAGAACACACTCAGGACCACAGCTGCAGACACACACATGATGTTATAATGAGAACACACTCAGGACCACAGCTGCAAACACACACATGATGTTATAATGAGAACACACCCAGGACCACAGCTGCAGACACACACATGATGTTATAATGAGAACACACCCAGGACCACAGCTGCAGACACACACATGATGTTATAATGAGAACACACTCAGGACCACAGCTGCAAACACACACATGATGTTATAATGAGAACACACTCAGGACCACAGCTGCAAACACACACATGATGTTATAATGAGGACACATCCAGGACCACAGCTGCAAACACACACATGATGTTATAATGAGGACACATCCAGGACCACAGCTGCAAACACACACATGATTTTATAATGAGGACACATCCACGACCACAGCTGCAAACACACACATGATGTTATAATGAGGACACATCCAGGACCACAGCTGCAAACACACACATGATGTTATAATGAGGACACATCCAGGACCACAGCTGCAAACACACACATGATGTTATAATGAGAACACACTCAGGACCACAGCTGCAAACACACACATGATGTTATAATGAGGACACATCCAGGACCACAGCTGCAAACACACACATGATGTTATAATGAGGACACATCCAGGACCACAGCTGCAAACACACACATGATGTTATAATGAGAACACACTCAGGACCACAGCTGCAAACACACACATGATGTTATAATGAGGACACATCCAGGACCACAGCTGCAAACACACACATGATGTCATAATGAGAACACACTCAGGACCACAGCTGCAAACACACACATGATGTTATAATGAGGACACATCCAGGACCACAGCTGCAAACACACACATGATGTTATAATGAGGACACATCCAGGACCACAGCTGCAGACACACACATGATGTTATAATGAGAACACACTCAGGACCACAGCTGCAAACACACACATGATGTTATAATGAGAACACACTCAGGACCACAGCTGCAAACACACACATGATGTTATAATGAGGACACACTCAGGACCACAGCTGCAAACACACACATGATGTTATAATGAGAACACACCCAGGACCACAGCTGCAAACACACACATGATGTTATAATGAGAACCCACTCAGGACCACAGCTGCAAACACACACATGATGTTATAATGAGAACACACTCAGGACCACAGCTGCAAACACACACATGATGTTATAATGAGGACACATCCAGGACCACAGCTGCAAACACACACATGATGTTATAATGAGGACACATCCAGGACCACAGCTGCAAACACACACATGATGTTATAATGAGGACACATCCACGACCACAGCTGCAAACACACACATGATGTTATAATGAGGACACATCCAGGACCACAGCTGCAAACACACACATGATGTTATAATGAGGACACATCCAGGACCACAGCTGCAAACACACACATGATGTTATAATGAGGACACATCCAGGACCACAGCTGCAAACACACACATGATGTCATAATGAGAACACACTCAGGACCACAGCTGCAAACACACACATGATGTTATAATGAGGACACATCCAGGACCACAGCTGCAAACACACACATGATGTTATAATGAGGACACATCCAGGAACACAGCTGCAGACACACACATGATGTTATAATGAGAACACACTCAGGACCACAGCTGCAAACACACACATGATGTTATAATGAGAACACATCCAGGACCACAGCTGCAAACACACACATGATGTTATAATGAGGACACATCCAGGACCACGGCTGCAAACACACACATGATGTTATAATGAGGACACATCCAGGACCACAGCTGCAAACACACACATGATGTTATAATGAGGACACATCCAGGACCACAGCTGCTAACACACACATGATGTTATAATGAGGACACATCCAGGACCACAGCTGCAAACACACACATGATGTTATAATGAGGACACATCCAGGACCACAGCTGCAAACACACACATGATGTTATAATGAGGACACATCCAGGACCACAGCTGCAAACACACACATGATGTTATAATGAGGACACATCCAGGACCACAGCTGCAAACACACACATGATGTTATAATGAGGACACATCCAGGACCACAGCTGCAAACACACACATGATGTTATAATGAGGACACATCCAGGACCACAGCTGCAAACACACACATGATGTTATAATGAGGACACATCCAGGACCACAGCTGCAAACACACACATGATGTCATAATGAGAACACACTCAGGACCACAGCTGCAAACACACACATGATGTTATAATGAGGACACATCCAGGACCACAGCTGCAAACACACACATGATGTTATAATGAGGACACATCCAGGACCACAGCTGCAGACACACACATGATGTTATAATGAGAACACACTCAGGACCACAGCTGCAAACACACACATGATGTTATAATGAGAACACATCCAGGACCACAGCTGCAAACACACACATGATGTTATAATGAGGACACATCCAGAACCACAGCTGCAAACACACACATGATGTTATAATGAGGACACATCCAGGACCACAGCTGCAAACACACACATGATGTTATAATGAGGACACATCCAGGACCACAGCTGCAGACACACACATGATGTTATAATGAGGACACATCCAGGACCACAGCTGCAAACACACACATGATGTTATAATGAGGACACATCCAGGACCACAGCTGCAAACACACACATGATGTTATAATGAGGACACATCCAGGACCACAGCTGCAAACACACACATGATGTTATAATGAGGACACATCCAGGACCACAGCTGCAAACACACACATGATGTTATAATGAGGACACATCCAGGACCACAGCTGCTAACACACACATGATGTTATAATGAGGACACATCCAGGACCACAGCTGCAGACACACACATGATGTTATAATGAGGACACACTCAGGACCACAGCTGCAGACACACACATGATGTTATAATGAGGAAACACTCAGGACCACAGCTGCAGACACACACATGATGTTATAATGAGGACACATCCAGGACCACAGCTGCAAACACACACATGATGTTATAATGAGGACACATCCAGGACCACAGCTGCAGACACACACATGATGTTATAATGAGGACACATCCAGGACCACAGCTGCAAACACACACATGATGTTATAATGAGGACACATCCAGGACCACAGCTGCAAACACACACATGATGTTATAATGAGGACACATCCAGGACCACAGCTGCAAACACACACATGATGTTATAATGAGGACACATCCAGGACCACAGCTGCAAACACACACATGATGTTATAATGAGAACACATCCAGGACCACAGCTGCAAACACACACATGATGTTATAATAAGGACACATCCAGGACCACAGCTGCAAACACACACATGATGTTATAATGAGGACACATCCAGGACCACAGCTGCAAACACACACATGATGTTATAATGAGGACACATCCACGACCACAGCTGCAAACACACACATGATGTTATAATGAGGACACATCCAGGACCACAGTTGCAAACACACACATGATGTTATAATGAGGACACATCCAGGACCACAGCTGCAAACACACACATGATGTTATAATGAGGACACATCCAGGACCACAGTTGCAAACACACACATGATGTTATAATGAGGACACATCCAGGACCACAGCTGCAGACACACACATGATGTTATAATGAGGACACACTCAGGACCACAGCTGCAGACACACACATGATGTTATAATGAGGACACATCCAGGACCACAGCTGCAAACACACACATGATGTTATAATGAGGACACATCCAGGACCACAGCTGCAAACACACACATGATGTTATAATGAGGACACATCCAGGACCACAGCTGCAGACACACACATGATGTTATAATGAGGACACAATCAGGACCACAGCTGCAGACACACACATGATGTTATAATGAGGACACACTCAGGACCACAGCTGCAGACACACACATGATGTTATAATGACGACAGGAACAACACACATACAGCAAGAACATTTATATTCACACAGATTTAGGTGTTATAAAAGCTGTCTAGACACAGACAAAATGAAACGCAGGCCGCTCCATAGTTTATTGGTTATTATTGAACCAGAATAATCTCTCTGGGATTTTAGAATTTCTTTTCAGGGAAGTTCTGACCCCAGAGCGAGGGGCAGGGGTGGGGTCAGGGGCGGGGTCAGGGAGCTAACTATTTTAGTTCCCAATCAATGTCAATGTCAACTTTAATTTTATAGCACATTTACTTTAACAACACCAGCTGCCCAAAGTGCGTCAAAGGCACAGAAGATAAAAAAAGAAAAGAAAACAGCATAAAATACACACACATACATGTAAAAGTAAAATGGTAAAACTCAGTGTAAAAATGTGTTTTTAGACTAGACTTAAAAACTTCCACTGAAGGAGCTGCTCTAATGAACAGAGGTCACCATTCCACAGTTTGGGGACAGCAGCAGAAAAGGCTCGGTCTGGTCTGGTCTGGTCTCCACAAGTTTTGTAGCCCGGGGCACATGAGACAGGGGCACGTTCAACAACTAGAGGACCCGGAACAAACACAGGGAGAACATGCAAACTCCACACAGAAAGACCTAATCTGGAAATAGAAACAAACCCAGGACCTTCTTTTTGTGAAACTACCCACTGTAGCGTGTAGGTAGCCTGTAGGTAGCGTGTAGGTAGCATGTGGGTAGCGTGTAGGTAGCCTGTAGATAGCGTGTGGGTAGCGTGTAGGCACACGCCTCACCTCTTTGGTGTGAGTGTGGGTGGCGTGTGGGTAGTGTGTGGGTAGCTTGTGGGTAGCGTGTAGGTAGCATGTGGGTGGCGTGTAGGTAGCGTGTGGGTAGCCTGTAGGTAGCATGTGGGTGGCGTGTAGGTAGCCTGTGGGTAGCCTGTGGGTAGCGTGTAGGTAGCATGTGGGTAGCGTGTGGGTAGCGTGTGGGTAGCGTGTAGGTAGCATGTAGGTAGCATGTGGGTAGCGTGTAGGTAGCGTGTGGGTAGCGTGTAGGTTGTGAGTGGGTAGCGTGTAGGCACACGCCTCACCTCTTTGGTGTGCGTGTGGAAGGACACGGACATGTCCAGCAGAAGCTTCCGATGCTCCACTCGTCGCACAAAGTCCTGGATGCGAACCTCTAAGTGTCGCGCTGCTTTGTAGATCTCTTCTGGATCACACTCTCCGGTCTGAGCCAGCTGCTCCGCGGCCTCCAGCAGCTTGTCTGCATTGGTGTATGTATTCTGAAATGTAAAAACAATAACCACTGAGAGGGACTTACTCTTATGCCTTAATCTGACAGTTTCTACTTCAATCCTACCAACAAGTTATGTATTTTCAGAGTGTGTCTGTTTGTCTGTTTATAGGAACACATTGATTGAGCTGAAGTGGTGCAGAGATGGGATATGATGGAAGAAGAGGACTGCAAAATATCCAAAATGATTCATGTGTGGGAGAATGTTATATGTAAGATTTTCATGTCAAGCCATCATTAAAGGGCCCTAATCTGTCATCATTAAAGGGCCCTAATCTGTCATCATTAAAGTGCCCTAATCTGTCATCATTAAAGGGCCCTAATCTGTCATCATTAAAGGGCCCTAATCTGTCATCATTAAAGGGCCCTAATCTGTCATCATTAATGGGCCCTAATCTGTCATCATTAAAGGGCCTTAATCTGTCCTCATTAAAGGGCCCTAATCTGTCATCATTAAAGGGCCCTAATCTGTCATCATTAATGGGCCCTAATCTGTCATCATTAAAGGGCCCTAATCTGTCATCATTAATGGGCCCTAATCTGTCATCATTAAAGGGCCCTAATCTGTCATCATTACAGGGCCTTTATCTGTCATCATTAAAGGGCCCTAATCTGTCATAATAATAAACTGCTCTTTTCCAATACTTCTTTAACTGATAACTGTAGTTCAGAAATATTTGAATTTCTAAATTACTTTTCCAGCCTCTAAATCTTGTTATTGTTTTCATTTCGATGTCCCGCCCTCCACCGTTTCACCAATCAGAAAGTCTGTGATCCGGGCGCCAGAACTCACCGCGTGGAGCTAATCTCACTGGTAAAGTACCATGTGGCACAGAACTAAAAAAGGTCTCGTTATGATTCTCAAATCATTAACGACAAAACAAGGAATAAAACCAGGATTTCTATCTTTGTGAAAAAGGTGTTGGTTATAGATTTGTTGTTGACTAAACTCTTGTCTATTCAGCTGTTATGGTCCCAGCTGGATTCGTCTGCATATCTGGCAACCTGAGTCAGGGAGAGTGGGAGAGGCTGCAGTACCACTTTTGGCCACATGTTTACACTCTGCTGCTTTAAAGAAAATTCTTGTAATTCTTGTAGCGTTTATTGTTTGATTAAGATCTCTCTCTACAAGCCAATACTGACAGATTTTAAACACATCTAAACTCCTACAGAAACTCTGCGAACATGTGGAAAGATAAACATTTTCTGTTGCTCGGCTGAAGACTGCGATTAGTCACTCCTCTGAAAATATGATTAGCTTTACTCTGTCACATGAGGACGAGACATTTTCACAGTCACTTTAGAAAACATTTCTAAAATACAACTTAGAACAGGAATATTGTCCTTGTGTTTGGTGGGAAGACTTAGTGGTTGATGAAGATTAAAAATAGAAGAGATTACGACTATTTCCTCCATGACCGGGTTTGGGCACTCTGCAGATTGGAATTTGAGGTTAATAATAATAATAATAATGCATTGGTTTTATAAAGCGCTTTTTAGGACTCTAAAGTCTCTTCACATCATTCTTCTCTCTCTCCAAACACGGTGGTGATAAACTACTGTAGCCACAGCTGCCCTGGGGCACACTGACAGAAGCGAGGCAACCAGTCTGTGCCATCGGCCCCTCCCACCACCACCAACCACTCACACACACACCAGACTCATTCTAATGTGGGGGAAGTGTCTTGCCTAAGGACACAACCACAGTTTGGCACTATACAGCCGCAGCCGCCCCACTGTGGCACCCGCTGTTCCCAGAGGTTAAGTGTCTTGCCCAAGGACACAACGACAGCAGACATCAGCAGGAGGCGGTGGAGAAAGTCTTGCGGTGGACTCGAACCCACGACCTTCTACAACTGAGCCACTGTCGACTTAATAGATACAGTAATAGAACTGAATCACCTTTTGAATGTTGAATTGTTTTTCATTTCAGTTTCCGTGATTTTACATCTGATGATAATAATGAATCTTGGTGACGTCAGAACAAGAATTTAACATTTTCTGAATCTCAAAGATCAGAAAAACAAAGTTAATTGAGGTGAACCCAACAATATTTCTAACATTGCCCTTGTGCAGAAGAATGTTCTGAACTTTGCTCATAAATGACTTTGTTAACAGCCTTGAGCTCACGGAACACTCAGAAACACCTTTCCAGGGTTTCTTTCTGAGGTGCATCAGGTCCATTTTACAGAAAGGGCTTGTGGGAAAGATAACATCTTTTGCAGATCTTTCAGGAAAGCCCCATGACCATAAATGGTTCTGCCGAGGCTTCATACTCCGAGCCTGGCCACTACCGGGAGGACCACGGGTTTGAAAATTTGGGATTAATCAGAGCAGATTACAAACAGATGTGTTTGAGGCCGACAGACGGGCATTTGATCTACACTCATTTCAATGTTCATGTTTGGAAGAAGGTTTGGCTTTGGGGTGAACAGTATAAACTATAAAACACAACACACTGTTACTACAACAGTGGCCAAAAGTGGTACTGCAGCCTCTCCCACTCTCCCTGACTCAGGTTGCCAGATATGCAGACGAATCCAGCTGGGACCATAACAGCTGAATAGACAAGAGTTTTGTCAACAACAAATCTATAACCAACACCTTTTTCACAAAGATAGAAATCCTGGTTTTATTCCCTGTTTTGTCGTTAATGATTTGAGAATCATAACGAGACCTTTTTTAGTTCTGCGCCACATGGTACTTTACCAGTGAGATTAGCTCCACGCGGTGAGTTCTGGCGCCCGGATCACAGACTTTCTGATTGGTGAAACGGTGGAGGGCGGGACATCGAAATGAAAACAATAACAAGATTTAGAGGCTGGAAAAGTAATTTAGAAATTCAAATATCTCTGAACTACTGTTATCAGTTAAAGAAGGATTGGAAAAGAGCAGTTTATTATTATGACAGATCAGGGCCCTTTAATGATGACTGGACATGAAAATCTTACATATTGCTGCTTAAAGCACTTAGCTAGCACACTAAACAAAGGATTATGTTGAAGAAAATATGTGGATTATAAGGAATTATAATGAAACCCTGATTTTTTTTCTTGGAGGACAGATTAGAAAACCATGTGGATCTTTGAACCCTCACCTGCGCCACATCCTCAAAGTCGTCGTGTCTCTTCTGCAGGGCCCGCGCTCTGTGGAGGGACTTGCCCACTCCGACGTGCTTACTGAGGAAGGCCTCCCCGTGGTTCTCGATCCAGTCCATCACCTGCAGAAGAAAAGCAGCCGTGATCAGCAGCCACGCCCTCTGCTCCCACAGCTCACTCCCACAGTCTCCAGTCTCATGAATTAAGAATGGACCAGAGGAAACCTTCACGATCGGGTCTGGCAAATTAGGTCGCCGCTGCTCACACAGATTAATACAGTGTTAGAAAACAATCAGAGAAGCTGATGAGTGACAGTGTGGGAGAATAGCCGATCATTTATTTCATATTTTTTTATATTTGCAGTATTATTTAACGTTGTCTTCTAGTCCAAACTTGTTGAACGGGACACCATAGAAATGACTTATCTGTCTGATAAATAGGAGAACAGGGATATCATTATTTCTTCATAGAATCACTTTAAGGATGTGGTTTGCTTCTTTGTCTGGAAGGTCAAGAATCAATGAATGACTGTTATAGTCTGTAATTGCTCTATAACAGAATCCAACTCATACGTCAAGACTCAGAGCAGGACCTATAAAAAATGTCTAATTTTTAATGGCGTCACTTTATCTGGGTCAAATTAATCAAAAGACTGATCAATTATAACTTATTCATCCAGCAGGGATTATAGTTAGCCTCAATGTGTATTTATTTATATATTTTTGGTCTTGTCAGAATCATTTAATTATGAATCGTCAACAGAAACGTAACCTTGTGCTGATTGGGGCTAAACTACACACTCAATAATCTCCCTCATAATTCACATGAAATCTGTGTTGCCTCAAAAAGAGTATTGGGAAAAATGGCCTCTGTGCTGTTTTGTGGTCTTTTAAGGAGAACCATCTTATATCTGTGAACGTGTGGTAATGTATGGCCTCGGTGAGTCCTGCTGCTGGAGGTGAACGTGAGGTTAGTGTGAGCTCAGGGCTGCAGCATGACCACAGCTGCAGCATCTGCCAAATAAAACACATAATAAGCTCCTACCCGGGCTCCTCGTGTGCGCCTCCCTCCGGGTCACATTCATACGCTACAACCTGGGCCTGGAATAGCCCTGTTTGCAGTGATTTATAGACTTTAGCTACGCGCTGACTCTTTCCCCTCATAGTTATCTTACTTTCTCTCCGTGTCCTTCTGTGTTGGGCTGTCTTCATTGTCTGTCTCCGGAGCCTCATACAAACTGATGCATGACCATTGCACTTGGAAAAGCTCTGTACAGATGAATTTATAACTCACTGATACGATCTCTATTCCCACTGTGTTCCATTGTTTCACAGTTTCATTCCCTCTTGGGGCGCATAGAAATGTTTGCACGGCGTTCATACGATGTGTTTTAAATGTGTAGTCTTCTTCTGCCCAGTTTTTTGCTCTCTGTGGATTGTATTTACACAAAACATCCACAGTTTGAAAAGTAATGGTCCGTGACAAAATCAATTGTGTTTGCTACTGGGAGGAGATTACTCATAACGGAGTATGGCCTAAAACAGGGGTGAGGTTTGGGTTCGTGCAGACGCAGCTGTGAGACAGATTTATCAGTGATGTCAGTTCAAACCATGTACTTTTAGTGTCGAAGATTCAAAGCTATGTTTGCGTTGGCATGTTTTAAGTTTTGTCTTATTCTCTGGCTTTTGACATCGCATATGTTAAAAGCCATGGGCAGCACGGTGGCTGAGTGGTTAGCACTCTCGCGCCTCCGAAAAGAGGTCCTGGGTCCGAATCCCTGTCGGAACAGGGCAAAGTGGAGTTTGCATGCTCTCCCCGTGTCTGCGTAGGTTTTCTCCGGGTGCTCCGGTTTCCCCTACCACTAAAATCATGCACAATAGGTCTGTGCCTCCTGTACTGGCCCCTCCCATCTCTGTGTGAGAGACTAATGCCCAAAAATAATAACAATTGTAAAGCTGCCCTTTATGACCCTGATGCCCTAGGGGTTACGTCAGGAGCAGTGGTCGCCGTAGTAACAGCGCCCGGAAACCCATCTCCAGATGTTGATGCTCGGCTTGGTCAGGACCAGAGCTGGAGGATTTAACCTAGTGAGCATGTTTTTAGTGGTAGGAAACCGGAGCACCCGGAGGAAGCCTACGAACACACGGGGAGAACATGCAAACTCCACCTTCTTGCTGAGAGCCGAGAGTGCTAACCACTCAGCCACCGTGCCGCCCTGTTTTATAAACCGCTTTGTGACTCTGGTCTTTTTAATATGGATTCTTTTATACTGTATGTGTGTTTATGAGTTGTTTATTTGTTGCCATTTTTTCTTGTTGTGCAGTTCTTTGGAAACTTGTTTATGAAATGTGCTATATAAATAAAGTGGACTCATTACAAAGTTGTTTCACAGCGACAGAAATCTCACTGATCCATTTTGTCAGGACTGAAACCAAACTGTGATCGATTCTCAGACAAATGATTTTACCGATTCCCTCTGATGCTGTGTAAAAAAAACACATCATTCAACTTTGAGGGAACTTCATATCGTCCCAGAGTTAGTTTCCTCCAGGCGCCGCGGGCCGTTCATTTCTCCTGATCCTCACTATCACATTAAAGTGAAATAACAGAACACGTTCTACTTCAGTGGTGCTGATGGTCTCAGACTAAAATAACTTCTGTTAGGACGCAATGTTCACGCCTTTAAACAACTGTTGGATCTGTATAAAGTACTATGTGTATATTTGATGTGTATATAGTACTATGAGTATATACTACTATGTGCATATTTGACATGTACTGTATATGTTATGTGTATAAACTGTTATGTATATGTTATGTGTATAAACTGTTATGTATATTTTATGTGTATATACAGTTACTGTATGTATATTTTATGTGTATATACTGTTATGTATATTTGATGTGTATATACTGTTATGTATATTTGATGTGTATATACTGTTATGTATATTTATACTGCTACTGTACCTGACATTTTCCTCCAGTCCCAGTCTCCGTCCTCGAGTCAAAAGTAACATCTGTGACTTTTGTTTGGGCAGAGTTTATCGCACATACTTGTCTCCTGACTTGATTACACGCTTGTATAAAAGATTACACGCTCCACTGTGGCTCCAGTGAATCCTAGACGTGTGGGAAAGAACAACTGACCCAGTTGTGCACGAGTCCGTTCGACTTTTTTAACCTTCAGCAAAAAGATAAAAATACACCGTGCATTTCTAAAAATACTCTCATCCGGTTTGCACTTCCACCTGCTCCTGTTCCTGCTGCTTTAAACAGAATAAACTCTACTGTTGCTATAGTTACCTGTTGGACAGTATGTAGTATACTGCTGTTGCTATAGTAACTGCTGGTACCTGTTGGACAGTATATAGTAACTGCTGTTGCTATAGTAACTGCTGGTACCTGTTGGACGTCCTGCTGAAACACACACAGCTGCAGCCTCTGATGCAGTCGCACTTTTCGATGCTGCCAAATGTTCTCCAGGCGCCGCTGATGATGCAGAACCTCGTGAACCACGTCCAGGATGCAGTGGACCTGCACAGAAGCACGTCAGCGCCGCACAAACACCACACAACACAATCACAGTCTCAACACCTGCACTCAGAGCTGGGTTTATGATTTTGATTTATTTAGAGAAAGCCCATTGAGAAGCAGAGAGTGATAAATACTTTTTTGAAATGTCACAACAGTCTTTAAAAGGAAGACTTTATGAACTAATTCTATACTTTATCTTAAGCTTTTTTATTACGTTATGAACATTTGAAGTGAGCGGATTGGCTGAGAGAGGACGGTCCTCTCTTTTTCCCTTTTCTCTCTGAAAACACTGATCTAACATATGACGAAAATACAGTCATGTGAAAACTAGTGATAGAACCAAAAGTTATGCAATGAGTATCTACGTGTGATTTGTACTTTACACTGATATTGTAGAGAAAAATGTGTGTGGAGAAAGTCCTTTAAGACGGTGGACTTCTGTTTTGGTGAAAAGTGACCATAAAACTTGCCTTTAAATCTCGAACAGAGCCTCATTACCACAGTTAGTTCTGCGTGAGGCCAATGCAGTGGAAAAGTAATATTAAATCCAATGTTTTATCTCTAAAAAACAGCCTTTAACAGAAAGTGAAACAGTATTCTCATATGTCTGGCCCATAACCGCCGCTGTTGGAGTGAGCGAGGCCACGGGGAAAAAGAGAGTTTGGTACAATTAAGCGAAACCGTAGACGTTTTACAGTTTCCTCGGGATAAAGCCTAATCCAGGGTTCCTTAAATAACTTTTTTAATTGGGTTAAAAAGTCAAGTCTCACCGCTTTGGAATAATTTGCCGTTGCCGTAAGCGACTCGGAGTTGCCGGGACTCAGGGGCCTCTGGAGAACGTCCAGCAGCGCTTTACCATCCTGACTCACCTACACAAATAAACAGGTTCAAACAGGACTCTACCAAACAACTCACTATCGTACTCTGTCTGTCTGTCACCCACATGTCACCCACATGTCACCCACATGTCACCCACATCTCACCCACATCTCACCCACATCTCACCCACATCTCACCCACATCTCACCCACATTCATAACATTCTCTCTGTACTGTTTTGATGGAAATGGTGGGCTACTTGCTCAGGTCCAAACACATCATCGTCTCAAATGTAAAGCAGACACAGTGAAGGCTAAAGACAAGGCTTTGGGCAACAGGGATTCCACAGATTCTCACCACAAACACAACATTTCAAGAGAATATGTGCAAATTATAAACTTTATGTTATGTTTTTGCTCGTCAGGGTTATGTCTAGACAAGACTCTGGCTCAACACATGTATCAATAGTCTTATTCTGACCAATGCTGATGGGCAAACAGGATAGAAGCTGAATGAATATAACATCCAGTAATATGTTCTGTATTTGGGATTGATTACTAAAATCATCAGTCCATAAATATGTCTGAAAGTGTGTTCTCTCCATATGGACCGATATACATGTGTTCTATATGTTCTGTGTCTTAACTGTTGATTCCTTGGTCTGTGTTGGTGATTTCAATGGTTTTGTTAAGTCTCTGAGAAAGAATTTAGGGAAATTCAAGATGAAAATGTTATGTATTGTATCGATGGATGTCAGCCCAATAGGGACAATAGATTTCTGGTCCAGCTCTACAAAAATACAGAAAGTCAGAAAATGAGAGCTCCTGTATGTCCACACAGTTGGTCGTGTTGTGTTGTGTTGTGCAGTGTTGTGTTACCTCGGTGTAGGCCTGGGTGACCTGCTCATATAGACTCTGGTGCCGGTGAATGGCCACCTCCAGCTCCTGCATCTCAGTGGGCAGACCTCCTTCATTGCACACTTTGCACCAGGCCTCCACCTCGGACAGGAACTAAGTAAATAGAATAAAAACACTTTATAATCATAAAAGATACAAAACAAGTTAATACATAATTCATCTTTCTCATGAGATGTTGTTTTCGATCCAAGCTTTAATTTTTCTTGTTGACTGGAGCTGTACACTTGTAGCTAATGTCAGGGCTCAGCAGGAATCAAAGGAGCTCCATCTGTTGCCATGACAACCATCCAAGAAGTGGCTTTTGATCAATTAAATACAATTACAGACCAAAATGTGCCGATTACGGAACATGCTCTGAACCGGAGCCTAAAGCTGAGTGTGTTCCCGATGGGCTCCGAGGTCTGAAAGAACATGGGTTTTATTTGAAGCTGGGGTACCTACATTTTGTTTCATGAATACGTTTTGTTTATGACCAAAGAAAGATCCTGTAAGTGTCAAAGTGATCTTTCCTCCATCCATCCATCCATTTTCTTCCCTTTAATCCATTTCTGGGTCAGGGGGGTGGCAGTCAGAGATGCCACCCAAGTCTCATAGCACCAGCCCCTCACTGACCCTCTGCAGGTGGTGAGTCCACAGGAGGACGGCTGCTCTCTGAGTGTGAGCATAGCCTTGATCTTTCAGTGGGGGCTTTGGGCAAAGTGGGGTTAAGTGTCTTGCCCAAGGACACAACGACAGCAGTCATCAGTGGGAGTCGGTGGAGAAGGTGCAGAGGTGGGAATTGAACCTACGACCTTCTGGCCTTAAGGCCAATGCTCTACCAACTGAGCTACTGTCGCCCCATGTGATCTTTCCTGTAATTGTAATATTGTAATTGTAATATGAGCACAGACTTTAGCGTGTTGTGTTTCTGTTTCTGATGCTTGGCACTGACCAATGTTAAAATGAGTTAAACTTAGACTGTTGCATTTGTTGTCATGATTGTCATGAATACTCTCAGAAATATCTTGATATATTCCTACCTACAGTATATTCTTATTTTTCAACCTTTACAACCATCACAAAAGGGTTATTTATGAAGTGAATCATGATCAGTAAAGTGAAACCCGCCTGTTCTGCTTTTTGGTGAAAGACGGAGGACATGGTGAGGATGGTGGAGCGCTCGTCCAAAGCTGCAGCAAAGCTCTTCCAGTCCAGGTCCAGCTGACCTGATATCTGCTTGATCTGGGTGCAGGCGTAGTGACCGGCCTCAGCGAGGCGACTGGCCACCGACATGATCCTGTTGATGTTTACGTAGGCATTCTGCAAATATAGAATCTTTTTTACTATTTTCATTTGGAAACATGTTTTTTTACACACTACAAACATGTGATCCTGTGTATCAGTAAAGGCTGTATACATTTTACAAATCTGTCTCCAGTGAAATTGAAGGTTACGTATGTAACCCCGGTTCTCTGAATCCCAGATGACCGCCAGAGTGCGGAACGTTCAGAGCTATGCACCGCCCTCTGGTGGTCAGGAGGGATGAAATACAACCATTATTTACAGATGCATGAGCACAACAACCTTTTACATTTTAATCAATCTGTTACTAATATTACTATTATTATTCCTGTCACTTCTGCTGCTACTACTTGAGCTCATTTAAGATGAAACTAGAATCTTTTGTACACTTTTTGGTGTCCACTATTTCACCTGCTGAATCTTATACAAATACATGTTCGACTCATTTGCTATGTGTGCACAGAACAAAAATATTTTAGTTTAGTTACCATGGAGTTCATGGCAAAGTGATTGTGTTGCGTTTGCAGTTCCACGGCGTGCTGATAACCGCGACCGATTTCAGTGTGATTCTGAAGAAACACCTCCTTATTGTGGCGGATCCAGTCAAACATCTGAGAGAAAGAGACGAAACACAAACCAAAGATGAAAACTAACAGTAAAGCTAATAAACAAGCATTATTCCTTTCTTTTGTGTTTTGCACTTTGCAATTGTCTCCTTGGCTTCATATAGACTTTAGCCACAAAGCCGTAATCTGCAGAGTTTTGTTCAGCCTCCATCAGTACTGCTGCATGAGACGCTATCATTAAACATGTCAGATATAATCATTCATTTGACCTCTGTCTGTTTTCTACGTTGTTAAATCATCTGCAAACTCACACTGTCAGGACAGCTCTTACTTATGGACAAAACTTACTTCACTCTGCCATAAATATTTACAGCTCTTACTTATGCTCTTTTTCATATTGACTTATTCACATAAACATGGAATGATAATTGATAATGGAATGAAAAAGGTTCTAGACTAACTCTTGTCCCGTTGGATGAAGCACTTATGGTTTTACAGATGCACATGTGAGATTCAGTGTAGAACATGAAACAATTGCCAATGATTTGTGTTCTCTATGTTTCATGCATTTAAAACAAAAATCCTTCATGTTGTGTTCTTGCAAGAAACATATCTAACATGGAGGATATTTTGGGCCACATCTTAATGGAATTGAAGTTAAAATCCTTCATCCTTTCAGTTTTGAAGCAGACAGAGTATTGCAGTTTAAACATGGAGAGAGGCTGATGAATAACAAAGCGGGTAATTCCTCAACGCCAAAGCAGATAATTTGCAGTTCCAACACAAAAAGATCCATTGCTGCATGTATTTTGCGAACACTGTGTCATAATTATTCCGGCCCCATGCTGTCAGATAAACACTAATCAACTGCAAAGCACAAACACCAGCTGCAGATGTCTTTTAACGGTCAACGTGATCTCAGCTCCTCTCTCTGAGAACGCCGTGGAGCCACAGGAACCTGAATAATTCACGAAGAATCATCAGCTTTTATAATGCCATCGCAACAGGCTGCGTACATGAGCTCGGCTTGTTTACCGTCCTTCACGCGGCGCTCATGGAGACGACCGCATCAGCTCCACACGCACTCACCTTCTCTGCGTCTTGTTCAAAGAGTCGCAGCTGAAAGCACTGGTCCAGCTTGAGTTTACGGCCGTGCCACATCTGATGAAGGTGCTGTCGGGTTGAGTGGAGCTTGTCCAGGAGGCTGGCCACCTGAGACAAAGATAACAGGCATTTAGACTCTCATTCAAACTCACCTCCAGCAATAAAGCCGTCCAGAGCCGTTTACTGAATCCAAAACTACTCAAAACTACACATCATATCAATAGTTTATGTCTGTTCAGAGCTTTGCACAGTTATGCTTTAAAGTTTACACACCCAGAGATGTCTTTGTTTGCAACATATTTTACAGGTTATGAATGATAATCCTAATTTTCAAATTTTTTCACTCATTGTTTATGGTTGTGTGAGGCCAAATGTTGCAGTATGTACTTCATAATAATCTACCCTGAAATTTCAACAAAATTAATGTCAAAATTAATGTCAAAATGTGAAGATTGTTGAGTGGGATTCTGGAAAAAACAAAGTAAGAACATACAAATGAAGGCAGAATTCTATGTTTAACTAAATCTGACATAAATCTGAGATCTCTGCTCAGTCCTGGAACCCTCGCCCTGGCCTTAGAAACGGGAAGGTTTACTCAGACTCCCGAAGAAAACCGACTTTGTAAACTTTGTGATTTAGGAGAGGTGGAAAATGAAACACATTTTGTTTTGTACTGTCCTTTGTATGACGATCTTTGTAATCTTCTGTTTAGTGGTTTCTTTGTTAAAAAGCCTGAATTGTTTCGGAGCAGTGATGATGATAAGCTAAAATGTTTGTTTCATTCCAATGTGTTTAAATTGGCTGCTTATGTTGGTAAAGCCTGGGAGTGCCGGCAATCCTGTTTATTCAAATAAGTTATATGTATCCTGTTCTTATAAACCCATGAAGGGGCTGGGCACACATCTGTACACAAGACACAATAATAAATAAATATTCATTCAATATTCATTCATTCATGTTGTCAAATAAACATATTTTCTATTTTCAGAACAGAGCCTGCGTGGGTGGTCAACTTCATTTGTCCAACTATATTTCAAACTGAGAAATACTAACAACACATTTCTCACTCATTACAAATGGGGCACTTCTTTTCCCATTTAACAGGACTTAAAAACTAATATTCTACAGGATAATGTGCAGAGAAAACCCAGTGCACAGGAGCTTAGAGCGTTCCATCATGAGGCCTGGACCCTGCAGAGCCCTGACAAGCTAACACGCAGAGAGAGCTCCTCATTAGTGCTAATGAGAGATGCTACGCTGCAAGAGAAGAAGTGCACGTGTCACTCCACGTCATGTTCGCAAGATTAGGGTTCACTGCAGGATACGGTTTAAAGGTATTAACACTGAACTGGGATAATCAACAGCATGAATGTGTTGTTGTAAAGATAGTCTTATTTGCATCAAAATGTCCCCATAATGTTCCTTATCTTAGTCTAAATGTTGGTGCCCAGAGTGACTATAAAGTTAACCATAAAAATGATCCAGGCACAGCAGGAAATCTATTTAAATACAGCCAACAAAAAGCCAGAGTTCCAATCTGCAGCTCCTGACTAATTAAACAGCTCCAAGTGGCAATTTGAAGGAACTAGTTTTAGGAGAATGCTATGTTTAAAAATAAAGCCACAGGATGTTTTCTAATTCACTCAGATTTCATGTCTGTCTTCTTTGTGAATAAAGAACTTTACCTTGGGAACCAGGCTCTGGAAGTCCGCAGAGCCAGAGATACAGTTTCTCCCTGAGAACCCATCACTGGATCGAATACACTGCAATAATCTCTGGCCTTCTCGGTCCAGCTCCTCCACGGGCGCCTTCTGCACCTGAACCAGAAGACACAATATTGTTCAAAGTGGAAATGCACTGATCTTGTGTACATTGTGTAGTTTTTACTCTCATCTCGCATTGAGACCATATATTGTTATATACGGTGCTACGGTAGCTTCGCAGGACAATATGTCGTCTTTGACAGTGGTCCCCAACTCCCAGTCAAACTCCTTTTTGCCCCTTATCAACCACTGTATTTCAAGATGGCGGCTTGACATGTAGAGTCCTCCAGCTCTCATGGACATTTATGAGTACATTTCTAAGCCTATGACATGGTGGAGGTGGATATTCTTAAAAAGGTCACATTTGTTATTGGTTAACATGTTTTTGTAAAAATTACACAGAGTACCTTTAAAGGTGCAGTAAGTGATTTTGTTAGCTTAGCCGTAGCACCAACTCCAAACCACTCCCCCCTCCCCTCCCCTCTCCACTTTATTTTATTTTTATCGGTCCGCTCAAAAATATTTGTTATTAATTTTTGGAGACTATAGGCATCTGGTCAAATCCATTACTGTTTGAAAACACATGATAACTTCATACTTTTAGGCTTTAGGGACGTTTTCCCACAATATTTAAAAAAATGCGTCTGGAAAAAATCACCGACTGCATCTTTAAGAGTAAGGACTTCACAAGAAAAGAATTGCTGCAATTATCAAATATGCAAATACCACCAAAGAAGCTCTTAGAAATTGATGTTGATTAGTTTTATTGTGCAGACTAACTATATAAAGAAGTTGTCACCTTCTTTTTCAGCTGTGTGTGTTCCTCTATGAGCCGCCGTGATCCCTCCACATCTGCCGGAAACTCCTTCTTTGACTGAAGCTCCTGAATCACACAGTGACGTAAAATATGGTTTGTTTATCATAAATGGATGATATTATTTTGCTGTAAGTGTGTGGCGTTAGGAGGCCTCACCTGCAGGTCCTCCAGTCGAGACAGAAGGTGAACCGCGTTGGACATGAACTCCTCCAAAGACACCCGCAGATCAATCCACTCGTCGTGGTTATAGTCCAGGGAACCTTCGAAATCGTCCGTGAGCTGAGAGGGATCCACCAGCTTTGCCAAACCCTCCACCGACACCATACTGGTCTGACGGGCAGAAGGAAGACCAGGTTTCCAAATGCACAGAACATATTAGAGTCAATCTGGACTTTTAAGGTGATAGAAGTTGATTTGTGGTGTAATTCCTTCATTTTAGGGAAAATTGCAGTAGTTTTTTGGCTTTTGTATCATCAAACAGCTACACAAGATTAAGTTTTGGCTTTTAACCCAAATGTCAACCATAAAAGCATTCTCAGCCCACTAGGATAAAAAAAAAAAAAAAGCGGACATTCCTCCAATATTGAGCACAAAACATGAATGTAAGTTAAAGTAGGTCAAATAACACAACACAAAACTAAAATGATTGACCATTTATTACATTCATTGAGGGTTGAAAGACGATCTCAAGCCTATTTTGGGAATTCTTGACTGAAAAAAAAGTTCTGGGTTTAAGTAAGAAAAGACATAGAAGTTCTACAAGTTGGCTGAAAAAACAGTAATGATTGAAGTGTAGCCACGCTTCTAAATTACCGTAGAAAATAGGTTTCAGAGCTATTTGTAAATGATTGAGTTGAAAACAGAACAGTTCATGTGTTCGACTTAGATCTAAATTTCCTTCTGAAACTCTCAAAGCAACATTAAACCTCTTTCCTCCAGTTGTCGTCAAGTGTTCTGTGAATCATTCTTAAAAAAACACAAACCTCAAAAGAGAACTTAGCGCTGCCAAAGTTGGTCTTCTGTTTCTGCCAGAAGTTGTCTGGTTTGATGATGAGAGCCACACAGATCTCTGCGGGGAAGGCCTCCTGCAGGGTCTTCAGAAGGGGCTTGATCAACTCCCACTTGGACCCGCGCATGTCAATGATCACAGTGAAGCCACGCTTACACACGTCCTCACTGCAACACAACAGTAATGACCACAGTGAAGCCACGCTTACACATGTCCTCACTGCAACACACAACCTTACACACGTCCTCACTGCAACACACAACCTTACACACGTCCTCACTGCAACACACAACCTTACACACGTCCTTACTGCAACACACAACCTTACACACGTCCTCACTGCAGCACACAATTTACACACGTCCTCACTGCAACACACAACCTTACACACGTCCTCACTGCAACACACAACCTTACACACGTCCTTACTGCAACACACAACCTTACACACGTCCTCACTGCAACACACAACCTTACACACTTCCTTACTGCAACACACAACCTTACACACGTCCTCACTGCAACACACAACCTTACCCACATCCTCACTGCAACACACAACCTTACACACGTCATCACTGCAACACACAACCTTACACACGTCCTCACTGCAACACACAACCTTACACACGTCCTCACTGCAACACACAACCTTACACACGTCCTCACTATGACTCGCATAATTATGAAACTACTGGAACTTCCAGAACAGTCATAATAATAATAATAATAATGCATCGGTTTTATATAGCGCTCTTTTGGTGTTTTGGAGTCAGTGGAAAACTCCTGTGGTGGGTTCGAACCCACAACCTTCAGGCTCAAAGGCCAATGCTCTACCAACTGACTGCTCTCACGACTACAAAAATATTTAATTTTTTGCCAAATGTGATAAAAGTAAATGATAAGGTTTTTGCCAGTGCAGCATTTAAACACATTCATAACGACGTTAACACAAACCCATCACACAATTAACGCAAGCTCCTGCCTTAACTTCTAAACCTAACTCTAACTCTAACTCTAACTCTAACTCTAACTCTAACCCTGACCTTGTCTATGGAGAAGCGCTGCTAAAACAAAGCGTAACGACATAGACGATAACATTAGAATACTAAACAAACACAAAGATAATGGTTGAAATGCTTCTTTTCTTGACAAAAAGGAACTGACTTCTCATTGGACAAGTTTTCTTCCAACACCTAATATCTGCAGAACAAACCTGAAAACAACAAAGCGCTAACACAAAGCTTGTTTCACTTTTGCGAGGGGCCATAAATCCAGCTGCAGCTGATTGGAGAACACAAAACGCTCTGTAATTACCTGCACCCTCCCAGTTTCTATTATTATAAATGTTACACAGGCACATTCATTATGACCTGAAGTCGGGAAGAGCAATCGTCTCCATGGAAACAGAGGTTCGATTAGCAGCAGGCATCGGAGCAGGACCGATGGTAATGAGTTTGTCTAAATGGGATTTCTCAGGTAGGAACATATGTTTCTGTTTGAAATTGAATACCCCAGTTTTAACGTATGATGGTGTTTGTCATATGTTATCACAGGCTATCCATCCATCCATTTTCTTCCCCTTAATCCATTTCTGGGTCGGGAGGGTGGCAGTCAGAGCTGCACCCAGTACACATGACACCAGCCCCTCACTGATCCTCCTGCAGGTGCTGAGTCCACAGGAGCTGAGATCTTTCAGTGGGGGCTTCAGGCAAAGTGGGGTTAAGTGTCTTGCCCAAGGACACAACGACAGCAGACATCAGTGGGAGTCGTGAAGTAGGACTCATGGTGGACTCAAACCCACAACCTTCAGGCTCAAAGGCCAATGCTCTACAGACTGAGCTACTGTCGCCCCCATATCACAGGCTAATTAATCAATATTTACAATGTATAGATTACATTTTGACAATTCTACAATTTGCCAATGTATCTACAACTATGATTTTTCTCTACTTTAAAACAAAACATTGAGAGAACATTCTTATACCAGAATCGAACTCATCATTCCCAGTGTTTTTGACATTCGTAAAACAAGCAAAAAAAACCTATATTTATGAACAAGTGATTAATGATAATATGAAATGATGATGCGTGTGAAACCGGCCCCGGCACTAAAATGATAAATGAGGCCAATCTCTGAAACCAGACTTTTACGTTGCTCAGATCGTAGGTCTCTATGGTCCATGTGAGTCCGCAGCCTGTGTTTAGACCCTGGTCCAGACTGACGACACACACTGAACCTTTTATGTTGATAACAAACACACACTGCTCCTCCTGTGACCACGGAGAAAGGAGCGTTTGATTTCACCAAGTGGCCGACTCAGGGGCACTCCACATGCTCTTCAGCTGGTGCTTTTATGCTATAATAGTTTAACTGGTGTCATTCACAGTGGCTTGGTTTAAACAGAGATTATACGAACGATGGGAACGAGGAGAGATAAAGTAGAGAAGGGAACAATAAATAAAATAAACAAAAGAATGAATAACAGAGAAGTCCAAAATAACAGGCTGGAACATACAGTATCTATGGAACCTATGGGGAGGGGGATGTAGTCAGACAGAGAGGAAGTAAGTCATGACTATTCATAAAGAGCATTTTTACAATTGTTCAGATTAATTTTATCTGTCTGTTGTGTGTAACTTTGCTACACCCTTGAAAAAGAGGTTCTTAATCTCAATGGGATTTTTCCTGATTAAAGAAAGGCTAAATAAGAAAAGAAGATATTGTTCCATTCTCTCCACACGGTGATGACAGAAGCGAGTCGCCAAACACACTGGTCCATCAAAGCCTCCGACCAAACACCATTCACTCACTCATTACATTCAGACCTATTGTGCATGTTTCTAGTGGTAGTGGAAACCGGAGCACCAGGAGGAAACCTACGCAGACACCGGAGAACAATGCAAACTCAGAAGCAGAGGTCTCAAAGACTAGATATAACATAAAACCATTTTGGAGGGTAATGGTTTTAAAGCTGGGGACATAACTCCGCCCCTCCCCTCGCCGGCTCGCAATAATACAGGATATATGAGTAAAGTGTTTTTGTGGGAGACAGTTGTGTACCTGGGAACAGTGGACAGATACGTCACCAGCCTCTTCAGTTCATCGTGCTTTATTCGGTCGTGGTTACTTCTGGCGGGAAACGTCAGGATTGGTCCTCCTCTTTTGTCCCGCCCCCCTGAGGACACAGAGTTATTGTTACCAAACCAGCATAAAATATCACATCAACACAGAGACAACAACAGTCATCTCCAAGAACGTGACAAAATAGTGAGAGGGGAAATCACACAAAGCAAACCAACTATGTACACTCCAGATTATAAGTAAGTAATATTTATTTATATAGCGCCTTTCTCAGACCAGAGTCAAAGCGGTTCACAAATGCAGCCAGCGAAAGTTCAATTTGGTAGACGTTAACCAAATTTACCCCTCCAGGCCGGCTCGCATCCCCAGCCTATCGCTCAGCAGACGCCCCCTTCCAATCATCTGTACCGACTCGCAGCCGCATAAAAACGGAGCAACGCCCGCTACCGGCCTCCTGAAGCCTCGCAAGCTCCTGCAGCCTCGCAAAGAATCGTTCTGGAGGAATCGCTTTCGTCTACTCTCACTTTCTCGTGCGTGTCCCTGCTGTCCTCTGTCTTGCTGCGTGTGGTCTGCTCCTCCTGTGGCTGCACCTGCTGCGGGTCTCGTGCTGTGGTCCGTGGGTCTTTGCCGCTCTCCTCCTTTGCGGGCTCTTTCCGCGGGTTTGCCGCTGTTGTCTCATCGCGGCCTGCTGCTGCATACGGCCGGTCTAGCCCGGTGCGGTGGGAGCCGTGCGCATCCCTGCCTCCTCGTGCCGGTACGGTGTGGTCCCGTCGTGTTGTCCCTTGTCTTCTGGCGCTGTGGGTAAGTATGAGATCCGCGGACGGTTTATTCCCCTCGCTTTGTACTGCAGGCTCAGTTGGCCCCGTGCTGGTGGGCAGGCTTCAGTTTAAAGCCCTCGCATTGGTCTGCAGGCTCTCTTTAACCAAGCTCCGTTAAATCTTCACTCTGACTGCAAGCTCCGTTTAATCCCTCACATTGGACTGCAAGACCTCAGTTTTAATCCCTCTCATTGGACCGCATGCTCTCAGTTTTAATCCCTCACTTTGGCCTGCAGGCTCTGTTTAAATCCCTCTCTGGACTGCAAGCGCTGTTTAAATCCCTCACATTGGACCGCATGCTCTCAGTTTTAATCCCTCACTTTGGCCTGCAGGCTCTGTTTAAATCCCTCCCTGGACTACGAGCTCTGTTTAAATCCCTCTTTGGACTGCAAGCGCTGTTTAAATCCCTCTCGGACTGCGGCTCCCAAAATGAATCCCTTACATTGGTCTGTGAGCTCTCAGGTTAATCCCTCACGGAACTGTTATATCTGGAAATGCCTATATCTGGAAATGCTTATAGCTGGAAATGCTTATATCGGAACTACTTATATCTGGAACTGTTGTACCGTATCTGGAACTGCTTCATATGGAACTGCTTATATATGGAACCGCTATATTGGAACTGCTCATATGGTACGGTTATACCTGGAACTGTTATGCAGTACATGGAACTGCATATATGGTACTGCCTATATCTGGAACGCTATATTTAAAAATAAATAAATGAATAAATAAATACATATAAATAAACATTTATAAATAATTATAAATAAATATAAATAAATATAAATAAACATAAATAAATATAAATAAATATAAATAAATTTAAATAAATAAATGAATAAAATTAAAAAATAGTTTAAACTCCTCACTTGGACTGCGGGCTCAGTTAATCCCTCACTTGGACCGTAAAACTGTTAAATCACTTGGACCGTAAAAAACCTGTTGAAATCCCTCACACTGAACAGCTACAACAACATTCTACTGCCGTGGCTTTGATGCGGGATCATTGCTGTTATTATCTACGGACGCTGCAGCTGCTGCTGCTGCTACTGCTGCTGCTGCTTCTGCTGCTCCATACTGCTACTGCGCTACTACTGCTGCTTCATTTACTTGCCATCTCTCTTCACTTGCATCTCTTTTACTGAAACACTGATCAGCTACGACAACATTCTACTGCTGTGGCTTGATACAGGATTATTACTGTAATCTCTAAGGATGCTGCTACTGCTGCTGCTGCTGCTGCTGCTGCCGCGGCTTGATACAGGTTATCGCTGTTATTATCTGAGGTACTGCTGCTGCCGCTGCTGCTACCGCTACTGCTGCAACCCACTCTCTCAGAAGCTTATCCTGTTTCTAATGGATGCTGCCCGGCTGAGTATGCCGGGCCGCGCTGGCCTCGTACCTATGCTCCCAGGGTCGCTTCGGCGGTCATGCTTCATCTCTCTACCTCATCTTCTGATTCTATCAGATGCAGCCGGCCGAGTAGCTGCGCTGAGCCGTCAATCGGACTCCTAATCAAAGGCATCCATACCTGTATTCTTCACTCTTCTGATCGCAGGCTCCCCCATCGTGCTGCCCATCCGGCAGCGGCTCTGAGCGGCACTGAACTCTGGCTCGTCTTCCAAGTACATGTCTGCCCTCCTCGCAGCATCTTCCTGCTCTCCTTCTATGGCTTCTCTGCATAAGCGTTTCACTTGCTCACTCAACCTTCATGCGGTCCGAGACACGGCCTTCCCGACCATCCTACTATCCTGATTATCTACTCTCCAACCCAAGATTCTAAGCGTAAGGGCGCCTGCAACATCAATGGCCCTCTCCGACATGTCTCTGCCCTTACAGGTCTCCGCTTCTACACGGACGCTGCCCCTTCCGTGGGTTTTGGGGGATTCTTCCAGGACCATTGGTTGCCGGGCCGTGGCCGCTACTTTCCACCGGAGCATCTCCTCTGCCCTACACGTGATATTCCCAGTGGTCGTGGCCTGCGCGCCGTGGAATCACACGTGGCAGAGAAAGAGGATCTCTGTCATGCGCGATAATCTCGACGTAGTGGAAGCATCACACAAAGGTCGCTCTTTTTCACCCAACATAATGTCCCCTGACCCTTTCAACCTTCATCTCAAACATTCAAAGACCAAGGCGCCTGCAACATAATAATAGCTCGCTCCGACACATCTCTCTCCAGACAACCTTCCCACGACAGCAACCTGGTTCAGAGCTCAGCTAAGATCCCTACTGCTCCTCTGCAATTTGTCTCCCCAGCTCTATACAGCCCACTCCTTCAGGATAGGCGCTGCCACGCGCGCAGCCTCGCTGGGGCTCCCCCACCTCTCCAACAGCTGGGGTGCTGGTCATCTTCGGCTTCTCCGCCTACATCAGCCCAGACGCGTCCGCTATCATGGCTGCACAACGCCTACTGGCTTCCTCGCAAGCTCCCAGCAAAGCAATACGAAGCAAAGTAAGTGAAGCAATAAGATTCTGGTGGCGGCACGCACTTCTCAAACACTCTCCGCTGCCGCAGCGTCTGACGGAACGTGATGCGAACGCTCACGTTCCCAGCGCGCAAAAATAACCCACGATGCATTACACTCGCCTCCGCTCTCGGAAAGGAGATCTCAACGGACCGTTATTTTTCACCCCCGATCACCTCCCAACGTCATCCAACGGGTTCAGAGCCCAACTAAAGTCCGTACTGCTGCTTTGTAACCTGTCTCCCCATCTCTACGCAGCTCACTCCTTCCGGATAGGCGCCGCCAGCAGCCGAGTATCCGCAAGTATTGATCACAGTAGATAGCGGTCACAGCATATAGCGATAGCGGTCACAGCATATAGCGATAGCGGTCACAGCATATAGCGATAGCGGTCACAGCATATAGCGATAGCGGTCACAGCATATAGCGATAGCGGTCACAGCATATAGCGATAGCGGTCACAGCATATAGCGATAGCGGTCACAGCATATAGCGATAGCGGTCACAGCATATAGCAAAAAATGGTTAGCAGCATTGCGCTGGCGGTCACAGCATAGCGATAGCGGTCACAGCATATAGCGATAGCGGTCACAGCATATAGCGATAGCGGTCACAGCATAGCGATAGCGGTCACAGCATAGCGATAGCGGTCACAGCATAGCGATAGCGGTCACAGAATAGAGTAGTCACGACGTCTGTCCCCTCCAAACCAGGCTTCGAAAACTCCATCAACACGCAGCCTTTTTGGGGATTGTGCGCGCTCATCGCAGGAGCCTTTACGATCCGAAGGTTGCACCGGGACCTAGGGCGTCAAACCTCCTTTCATAAAATACTCAACTTCCTGTTTCTCGTCTCTCCAAATTGAACTGTGGACATTTGTCTGTCACTCTACACAGAGATGGGAGAGCATTGGCCTTTGAGCCTGAAGGTTGTGGGTTCGAGCCCATCACGAGACCTATTTTTAGTGGTAGGGGAAACCGGAGTACCCGGAGGAAACCTACGCAGACACGGGGAGAACATGCAAACTCCACTCAGAAAGGCCCTGGTCCGACCGGGATTCGAACCCAGGACCTTCTTGCTGAGAGGCGAGAGTGCTATCCACTCAGCCACCGTGTGTATGTGTGTATGTGTATGTACAGTATATGTGTGTGTGTGTGTGTGTATGTGTATGTACAGTATATGTGTGTGTGTGTGTGTGTATGTGTATGTACAGTATATGTGTGTGTATGCATCAAACTGAAATTTCCCCATTGTGGGACGAATAAAGGACCTTCTTCTTTTTAGTGGTGGGGAAACCTGGGAAGAACATGCAAATTCCACTCAGAAAGACCCTGTTCCGACCGGGATTCCAACCCAGGACCTTTTTGCTGAGAAGCGAGAGGGTTAGGGCTAACCACTCAGCCACTGTGTTGTAACATATTGTTTTTGGGAGTTTTGTGGCCTAAAGCCATAGTCACCATCTCTGACTATGGCTATGACCATCACCGTCTGGGAGAGTTTTCCCAGATACAGTTTATGACCAGCTTTGTTTACATTTCTAAACAATGAGACAACTACATGAGATCTGACTTCTTCTAAACCTGTCGCTTATCTGTTGTTTGAAATATAGGTTATCACAGAGATAGTCTTTATCAGAGACGATCTTCACCATATTTTACCGTCTGCTGCATCTAAACCTCCTCCCGTTCTCCGTAAACACACTCTCCTTCTTCTTCTGTGTGTAACAGATGATGTGAAATGTTTTTGAGTAAGAAACACAAATCACAGTGTTTACAAAACCCGCTGTGATTGGAGGAATCTGGACGACAGAGATTTGGCCCAAAACTCTCGTTACTTCAGTAAATCTGCTTTAGTTTCTGTTTTGTGCTGCAGTAATGTCGTCACAAACAAGATGAATGTGTGTATTTAATGTGTTCATAGCAGTAGAGACTTAATAGAGATTCAATATTCAGTTGTCTCCATGGAGACAATAAGATTTATGCAAAAATATAAAGTCAAAGTTATCGTTCATGATACAGAAATAAACCATGTATTCTTGGGTTTCATCTGACGTCAGGGCAGTGGTGAATAACAAACGTGTGACAGGACGTGACGTATCCTGGCGCTGCAGTCTGCTGGGTTTATACACGGAGATATAGTAGAAGAAGAAGTGGTTTATACACAGAGATATAGTAGAAGAAGAAGTGGTTTATACACAGAGATATAGTAGAAGAAGAAGTGGTTTATACACGGAGATATAGTAGAAGAAGAAGTGGTTTATACACGGAGATATAGTAGAAGAAGAATTGGTTTATACACGGAGATATAGTAGAAGAAGAATTGGTTTATACACGGAGATATAGTAGAAGAAGAAGCGGTTTATACACGGAGATATACAGTGCCTTGCCCCCTTGAACCTTTCAACATTTCGCCACATTTCAGGCTTCAAACATAAAGATATAAAATTTAAATTTTTTGTCATGAATCAACAACAAGTGGGACACAATCGTGAAGTGGAACAAAATTTATTGGACAATTTAAACTTAAAAAAAAAAATAAAAAACTGAAAAGTGGGGCATGCAATATTATTCGGCCCCTTTACTTTCAGTGCAGCAAACTCAGTCCAGAAGTTCAGTGAGGATCTTTGAACGATCCAATGTTGTCCTAAATGACTGATGATGATAAATAGAATGCTCCTGTGTGTAATCAAGTCTCCGTATAAATGCACCTGCTCTTTGATAGTCTCAGGGTTCTGTTTAAAGCACAGAGAGAACCATGAAGACAAAGGAACACACCAGGCAGGTCCGAGATACTGTTGTGGAGAAGTTTAAAGCCGGATTTGGATACAAAAAGATTTCCCAAGCTTTAAACATCTCAAGGAGCACTGTGCAAGCAATTATATTGAAATGGAAGGAGTATCAGACCACTGCAAATCTACCAAGACCCGGCCGTCCCTCCAAACTTTCATCTCAAACAAGGAGTAGACTGATCAGAGATGCAACCAAGAGGCCCATGATCACTCTGGATGAACTGCAGATAACTACAGCTGAGGTGGGAGAGTCTGTCCATAGGACAACAATCAGTCGTGCACTGCACAACTCTGGCCTTTATGGAAGAGTGGCAAGAAGAAAGCCATTTCTCAAAGATATCCAATAAAAGTCTCTTAAAGTTTGCCACAAGCCACCTGGGAGACACACCAAACATGTGGAAGAAGGTGCTCTGGTCAGATGAAACCAAAATCAAACTTTTTGGCCACAATGCAAAACGATATGTTTGGCCTAAAAGCAACACAGCTCATCACCCTGAACACACCATCCCCACCTCAGCTGTAGTTATCTGCAGTTCATCCAGAGTGATCATGGGCCTCTTGCCTGCATCTCTGATCAGTCTTCTCCTTGTTTGAGATGAAAGTTTGGAGGGACGGCCGGGTCTTGGTAGATTTGCAGTGGTCTGATACTCCTTCCATTTCAATATAATTGCTTGCACAGTGCTCCTTGAGATGTTTAAAGCTTGGGAAATCTTTTTGTATCCAAATCTGGCTTTAAACTTCTCCACAACAGTATCTCGGACCTGCCTGGTGTGTTCCTTTGTCTTCATGGTTCTCTCTGTGCTTTAAACAGAACCCTGAGACTATCAGAGAGCAGGTGCATTTATACGGAGACTTCATTACACACAGGTGCATTCTATTTATCATCATCAGTCATTTAGGACAACATTGGATCATTCAAAGATCCTCACTGAACTTCTGGACTGAGTTTGCTGCACTGAAAGTAAAGGGGCCGAATAATATTGCACGCCCCACTTTTCAGTTTGTTATTTGGTAAAAAGGTTTAAATTATCCAACAAATTTCATTCCACTTCACGATTGTGTCCCACTTGTTGTTGATTCATGACAAAAAAATTAAAATTTTATATCTTTATGTTTGAAGCCTGAAATATGGCGAAATGTTGAAAGGTTCAAGGGGGCTGAATACTTTCGCAAGGCACTGTAG